AAAAAGCCTCTCTCTCCGCCAATAACCAACTAGGGAGTTATCTGGCAAGACCTTACCTCAATGATGTAGACTAGAATCATCAGTAGCATCAACATGATTGAGGACAGATAGTGAGAGGACAAAAGAGTCACCTAAAAATACAGGAACACTTGCTTGAACTGTGTCCAAAAGGAAATATGCCTATACTGATTTTGATGAATTCTTTAAAAAAAAAAAATCATTCAACTGGAGATGTTTTCCTCTTAGAAAGAAGATAAATGAGGGGCAGCTCAAAAGAATAGCAAAAAAAAGGAAAAAGAAAAAAACACCTTCAGGAAATGACTGTGAAAGAACTAAATTTGTGAAACTCGGAAAATCTGATGACTAAGTGGGAACATCCTAACAGCCCACAAATATCCACAAGATGTAAGTCTGGGAAGGAGAGAGATTTAGGATGATACAAAGGAAGATTAAACACGGCTGGAGTCTCACGTGAATTTACACTTTGCAAGCCTCCAAATTTTTCCCACATACCAGACACAGTGATGATCCATTCTCCTCACACAGATGCCACATATTCGGCAATGCCATGCCCGGGCTGGTCGCACCAGCTGGCACTGGGCACACCAGTCCTCCTTCACCTTGGTGGGACTTCCAGCCAACAACCTGGAAGAGCCCTTCTGATCATCCCTCAGCGAGCGGTTGTTGAGAATGCCCGACATATCCGCACTGGGGAGCCCTTTGGTCTTCTGCCCTTTTCTGGTCAGGCACTCAACTTGGCTGCTGCCTAGAGAGGTATCCTCACTTGCTGGATTTCTGAGGTAGCCTGGATTCTTCTTGGCTCTGTACAAAGCTAAGAGGATCAGAAATAACCCGCAGGTAAGAAGAGCCAGCTGAGTGGGCCCCACATGCCCTTTGGGGACTACTTCCTGCAGGAACACATAGTACATGTAGCCCAGAGAGAACAGCCCGAGGCTCAGGAAGAACAGAGTCTGTTCTTTCCTTCTGTGAGTGAGGTAGTAGTACCACAGAGCCAGCACAGGAAGGGAGGTCAAAACCACCACCCCCAGGAGGAAATGCCAGGAAGCCACTCGGAGGAAGACGGGCAGGAGGATGAGCGGGGGAATGATGCTAATGTTAACTTTTTTGGCTCCTCTAAGCCAAGGAATTCGGAGGCGATCAGAGATTGTTTCCATGATTCTTTCACAAGTCTCTGGCTGCACGGATTTACACGTAATCCATCTATTCAGAAAGAGCACAAAGAGAAGGCATTTCATATGGATTTGCTGAACTAAAAACCACTGAACACTGTAGGCCAAACAGCAGGATAAATGATAAAAGAGGCCAAAGGCCAAATCTATCTACTTCCTGACTACTAAACATGCTATTTTCAAAACTGTGTATCATTTTTTAGTATGAACCAGAAGATAATGTTTAGATATTTAAGTTAAAATGCTTTCTCCATGAAACAAATACATATAAATACACTCATTCCATACAAGTACCGTTTAGACTTGGGTGGGTGTAGACATAAAAGTCTCAAAAAAAATTCACAATGTAGTTGTGAAGACAACATAGGAACTCAAGAATTATTGGGTAAGTGACAAAGCAGCAAAACCACCCAATGAACGGTCACAGTCAAACATCATAAGGAGTACTCAAAGGAGAGAGACTTCTGGGCGGAGTCATTGCAGTCTTAGTGGAAAAGGTAGGATCTGTGCTTGACCCTGACAGCTTGCTAGCATTTGTACTTGTGGAGAAGAAGGTGGGTAGTGGTCCAGTGGACAAATCCATGTATGGCACCAAACCTGTCCTGGGCCCAGGGAGTGAACCAGTTTAGTGGGGGCAGGGATCTGCATGGGGGAGAATGGAGATCAAACTGGTGTGAGTCAAATGACTGAGCATCATTGACTTTTTTTGCATCCTTCAGCTAGGAACAGTTTAAGGAATGATCATAGTGATTTGAAACCATTAAAAAAAGTAGGGCTAGAACTTGAAAGTGGGAGATAACCATATGGGAGTCATCTCGAGCCTCGGGAGAGTGGAAATGCAGGGATCTCCAGAGAAGGGTATGGAGACAGCAGAGGAGAGAACTCTGGGACAGCGTGGGTCTCAAGGGCTGGGAGGGAAGAAGAGTTAGAAGGTTAATGGAAGAGCTGCAGTCTTGAGTGATGATTATGGAAACAGTATCCTTTCTCCATTCATTAGCACAAAGTGCTCCATTTTCTCATGGATTTTAGACTAAGTCTAAAGAATCTATATTTAAAGACACCTGGGAAAAAGACTATAGACACTGTCAAGTAAGAATTACAAAAGGGTTACGGGATATTCAGGTGTCTAGGTTGGTACTAGACCACAATGGTCCCCAAAAATGCTTTTCATGCTAAATTAATGCACCAAGCTCTAAGTCAGCAATTTGTCATTGCAATGACTTTTTAAGCAGAAGTAGTTATTAATGGGAAAAGCAAGTTTCCAACATCCTTACTCTTCCCACATTATGCTTTCCATATGGCAACAATGGTTAAATATATTACTTAGAAAATGGGTAAAAGCCTGGCTATTACTGTTTGATACCAAAAATTTTCAGTGATGTTAAAAATGATCTTTCTGGATAGTAATTTCCATCACTTGGATTAATAGAGAAAATAAAAGCCAAATATAATAGCATTGAACAAAACAGTGTTGCCACGCATGTTGAAAACAGCCAGTCTGGGAGAGGAATGTGTTTCCTAGCTGGATTTACTCCCCTAGAAACAAGGGGTGAAACCAGTGCCAACAGTAGGAAAATGATCTTTCAACCCTCAAGGCCCTTTGTGGCCAGGTGCAGTCTAGTCCCAGGTAGTCAGTCTCTAAATGCTGAGATCACTGAGAACATAGGAATTTTCTGGTACTGTGTTCATTCGAAAATTAGATTCTGCTGGGCTGCATTTTATTTTTTCACACATTTAATTTGCCTACTATCCCTTTATCTGCCTGTTCTCTCCATGCATCTTCTCCCTTTTAATGAAAAATTAGGTCCTAGAAAACTGAGCTGAACAGACAGTTGTGCACGACAGAGTAATTCATCTTTATAAAATCCTTACTCTTGACATAGAAGACAACTCTCAATTTTCAATCCTTGGAAATAGAATCACCAGTAAAGTCCAGAGTTCCGGAAGGCTAAGGTGAAAGTATACATGGCAGTTCTCAAAAGGACCAATGGGGTCAGCATCAAGAAACACTGCTCTTACCTCTCACACCCTTCATCCAGATCTTGGCAATCGCACAAAAAGGCAGCCACGTGGTTCTTTTCCCCATTTCTATCTATGTACTCGCAGCAGCACAGGGGCTCCAATTCAGGTTCTTCCGCTTTGTTGTTCTTCGCTGACTTCAAACTGCCCTTCTGTGTCATGATTCCCACCTGTCACCATAAGGCTTAAGAAGCCCTCAAAGGATAAAGGAGGGAAAAACACAACTCACATCTTGTAAACACATTCACGCCTCTCTCTGCTCAACCGCCAACGCCTGAGAAATAAAAAATGAGAAGAGGGGGCGGGGGTCCCATTTTCATCAGAGCTGCCCAGGCGGGGAGCACCGGCGCTCTAGGGGCTTTGAGCCGCCTTCACCGCCCCATCCCACCCAGTGGGGCTCCTGGGCACCGGCCGTTCCCATGGCGACAGCCGACCACGCTGCCCGGGACAGCCGGGAAGCGGGTGGCGGTGCGCCCCTGCTGGTGCGGGCTGAGCGGTCCCCACCCGAACCTGGGCGCGGATGGAAACTCACCCTCCGGGCTGCGAGCAGAGACACAGCGTATATCCGCTGCAGCCGGCGACCACTCCGGCTGCAGGGGCCGACGACCCGGCTCTGGGAAAGCCACCAACTGCCCGGCCAGCGCTCCGGGTGGCCGTCCAGCCCGCTTCTCCAGCCCCGCGCAGGGCTTGCCTCTTCCGCCGCCACCAATCGTGAGGACGCGGGCGGGACGCGAGCACCGCCCCGCCATGAGAATGACCTTGGAAGGGAAGTTACCTGCGCTCCGGGCGGAGGTGCGGCTGCAGCCAAGGAAGCCAAGGCGGAGGGAAAAGGGTCGGCTCCGCCAGCGACGCGGACGCGTCCCCCGTCTCTGCTCTGCAGGACTCCCAGCGTGACAGCTGGAGTCCCGGGCACTCCGGCTCCGCTTCGCTGCGTCCTCGCCGCCGCCCACCTGTGACCACAGCGCCGCGGCCGGGCGGTGAGCCCACCTCCCCACGCCGTCCTCGCAGCCTCCCGCCAGCCCGGCTCGGGCCGCAAGTCCGCGCGCTTCCGGGTGCCCCGCCCCCGGCGCCGGGAACCCCGCCCGCCGGCACGTGCACCGCCCACCGCCCCGCGGAGCCCGCCGGCGAGACCCCTCCCTCGCCCGGCTCTCGGAGCGAGTCCCGACGGCGGGAGCCTGGCTGGCTTGCACCTCCGCCCCGCCCGCCCGAGGCGACTGCGGAGACCCTGCCCAGCCCCGCCGTTGCCTGCGGGTGGCGCGTGGGCAAGGCTGCCTCCAAAGCCTTGGCCAGGGGAGGGGCCGAGACGGAAACCTGGGAAACCCGAGAGCCCCAAGGCTTTCCAAGTACGAGAAACCCGTGGGTCCGCCCGCCGTCATTCAGACGCCCGCCACAGGCGTTGCGGGAGATCTCCACCGCCAGAGGTTACCGAGATACCGCTCCAAATTCGCTAACCTTCCCGTAAAGGCCGCAACTGTCCCCGATCTGCTAATGACCCAACCTACTCATTTTTTTAATTTCTGAGAGCAGTCTCCACCTTACACCCGCAGGCCTAGCTAGTGTTTTTGTTCCAGCAGTATGCATACAGTATTTGAAATGAAATTGATCTGAGAGTCCTCTTTGATTTTTACACAAAATTTTACAAAGAGTGTAAGCCCATGCACATGTTTTCACTACAGTCGGCTATTCTTTTTTGGGTGTCTCCCCAACCCCATCCCCCCAACAGAAAAGGAAGAAAAACAACAACTCAGATTTTGGGTTTTACAGATACTCAATTTATTTAACACTCAAATACAATAGGCTGAATTCGGCATACATAAATATTTAGTCGTAATTTATCAAGCAACTTTGGTCATTTTCTTTGAGGTATGTAATGAAGTACATTGATCATTTTTGTGAATTTAAGAGAACAAGGTTTCACGTTTATAATCCAGTCACTCTTGCTCACAGCCAGACACTTCATAAACCCTTATTTAAAAACAAACAAGCAAAAAAACCCAGGTAGGTACACTGGTTCCCCAAAGTAGGTAAGTTGGGAGTCACTCAGAGAAACCCATTTTCCCTCTAATCAAGTCAATGCTTTCTCTACAGGCATCTCAAAAACAACTTTAGCAATCTCATGTGGCTGTGGTGACTCTAGGGAGAAAAAAAGAAATTTAAAGGCAATAGTTGTTAAAACAGTCCGAATATACACCAGTTATTTTGCACTGTCTTTCTCTTTTTCCAGAGACATCACCTGTACTGAGATATACATGCCTAAAACCCAAAGAACTAAAGTTTGTGTCTTACAACTTTTAATGAGTAAAACCAGCCACACACATGAAGGAATAAATGAAGCTATAGGTGGCTACTGAAAATTAATCCACAAATTAGACTGCTAAGCTGAAGTAACGCTTAGTTCAAGTATTTATTTGATCACTAAATGCCCAGATTTTAACCTGATCTTCTAGTATTTAAAACTCAGAGCATGGTTCTTCATTTTGAGTGCTGATATCCTATGTATTTCCTTTTCTGAAATTGACTCAATTCATTTGATGTATTAAGAGGCAAGATAATCTCACCTCTGATAGCTACCTGAAAAAGAAAACTGTCATGAAGGTGAACATGGCTGAAGAACCTTTCAGATAATTATCATCAATGTGCAGAGTCAAAAGTCTATTACATTTGCATGCTAAATAAATGAAGACATTGTAATATTTACAGTATGCAAATCTAGAAATGTAATATGCCTAAAACTGATCCTTCAAAATTCATAATGGTTTAGAGGTTTCTTCTTATATTGATTGTCTTTAGCATCTAGAATGTATCTCAACTGTGAAAGCAGCCAACTGGATACACACTGATTCTGTGCTAACAGATAAAGCATCAAACTTCAAACCTCACTGTAAAAACGAGGCCAAGGTGTCATTTTCTTTTCATATCACAGAAATTCAATTCCACAATATAGTTCATGCTTCACTGGAGAAATTCACAGCTTAGATTTATGTATAAGAAGCAAAAGGATGGAGTCTTAAGGCCATCGAAGCCTAATTACGAAATAAATGTTATTAAAAAGAATGTTTAAAAAAAAAAAGAATGTTCAATAATGAGAAAATATGGAAATGTTCCTATTACAAATAGAATCCTTCATTCTCTGGTTTTCTCCAAGATGTTTTCTGTTAGTTTCAAGGATCTCTCCAATTTCAATCGTTTAGATCACTAGCTCTCCACAGCCATGCCAGTCTTGTTCTTATTTAGTAGATCAAATGTTCTCTGAAGCATAATGAGTGAGCTCTTCAACTGCAAACAAAATAATTTTCAAGACAGACTGTTTAAATTTTTCTGATCATTTTTATGCCATAGTTCACATTTACATTTAATATAATTTCATTTATACCAAATGCCCAAATAAAAGACTGAATATAAAACAACTGGTTCTTTGGGGTACTTGTCAGGATTGCTACAGCGTCCTTCCCATTTGCTCGAGGATTGCTCGTCTTCCTACAATGTATTGCTATGCATTCTACCTCCCATCCGGTCCATAATCAAATTATCCAAAGGGAAAGGCTGGCTTGTTTTCTTAAATGGTTTCTGAAGTTGCAGTGGTCTCACTATCTCCTAAACAACTCAGGTTTCACTTCCAGGCCTGTGCTTGCTATTATGTTCATGTTTGTCTACATCCATCTAAAACTGACCCATCCCACTGTCTCCATGTAGTTTTCCCTAATCATCCTGCCTCTAGACTCCCAAAGCATTACTACTTACTTTGACACTTGATTTTGTATTTTTTTACAGTCTTTAACAGTACACATGGACATCTGACTTCTCCAATAAAATTGTAGGCAACTTGAAAGAAGAACTGCATTTTATTCTTCTTTGTATTCATCACTCAAATATGTTTTGCTTATCTGTTACATGCACTGTACGAAGCACTGGATGCTCAATGGTGAACCAAGGAGCCACTATCTCTGCCTTCACAGAGCTTACAGACTAGTAAGCAATACAGAACTAAAACACATCATCACACACATAAATATAGTCAGTTAAGTATATATGTTTGTTACTTAAGCAACTGGAGGATGGTAATATTGTTTTCTAAAATGAGGTCAACTAGAGGAGAATTGGGTTTGGCGTAGGATGAAAACGGAATTCTGTTTTGGACATGATCAGTTTGGGATGCCTGCTATCATGCAGGTGAAGATGCCAAGTGGGCAAGTGACTGTATGAGTCTGGAGCTCAGGAAAGAGGTCAGGGTAAAGATGGATCTGGGAGTCACTGGCACATGTGGAATTCCAAGTTAGGGCAGTGGGTGTAATCACCCAAAGGGAAGCAGAGGAGAAGGGAAGAGAATCTAACAGAGCCCGGAGCACTGGGCCAGGAAGAGGTCAGGTACGGGAGATGGTTTTAAAGCAAAAAGGAGTTTCCCGTTATGCTATGTGAAAGAGGCCAGTCACAAAAGATTGCATTTATAGGAAATGTCCAAAATAGGCAAGTTTATAGAACTAGATAATAGTAGATTAGTGACTGCCAGGAGCAGAGAGAGTGAGGGATGGGAGTGACTATTAATGAGAATGGGGTTTCTTTTGGGGGTGATGAAACTCTGGAATTAGTGGTGATGGTTGCATAACCTTATAAATATACCAAAATCCTCTTAAGGGCTGAATTTTATAATACATGAATCAATTCACAATAAAGCTGGGGTTTTTTTTAGATACATTTTAAGAAAAGAGTGGTCAGTTCTGTCAAAATGTTGACAGATGAAAACTAAAAAAAGGTGCATTTAGGTTAAAAGCTAAGGTCACTGGGGATCTGAGCTCAAGGAGTATCGGTGGAAGGTAGAGAAGAAAACAAGGCAGGGGAGCTACAGTGAGGAAGTAGATTAAATACATGCATCCAGTTTTGCTCCCTCCTGAAACCCCACTAGGGGATTTTTTTTTTTTTTTAATCCTCACCCAAGGACATTTTTCCATATTTTGTTCAGATAGAGTGGGAGGGAGAGAGAGGAAGAGACAGAGAAATATCGATGTGAAAGGGACACATCAAGTGGTTGCCACCCACAGGACCCAACCAGGGCCGGGGACAAACTGCCGAGGTACGTGCCCTTAGCGAGAACCGAACCCAGGTCTCTCTGGACCGCAGTCCGATGCTCTAACCATTGAGAAAACCGGCCAGGGTGGAGATTTTTTTTTTTTAATCCTCACTGAGAATATGTTTGTTTGTTGTTTTTTTAATTGATTTTTTAGAGATTGAGGAAGGGAAAGAGAGAGAAACATCAATCAGTTGCTTCCCATATGTGCCCCATCTGGGGATCAAACCCACAACCTAGGTATGTGCCCTGACTAGAAATTGAACCCACAACCTTTTGGTACACTGGATGACGTTCCCACCGGCCAGGGCAGGATTTTTTTTTTTTTTTTTTAAATACATAAACCACAAGGGGAGGACAGAAAAAGTGAATAGCAACACAACTTGGGAGACTAGAAAGCAGATGGATGACTCCGCAGACCTGAAAAAGCTGAATCCTAAGCTAACAGCAGAGAAAGCTGAGAACCAACTGAATTTATCCTGAAGAATCCCCAAAGCCTCAGGAATTCATGGCCAGGGACCTCTGGAAGTGGGCATTAAGAAGAAGGGGCTAAAATAAGAAGTGGATGAACCTTTGGGCATCTGACCTCTCCTACTCCCTGGGCAGAAGTCTAAAATTTTATTTTCTGGAGAGGATGAAACAGAGGGGCTCTGGCTCTCTGGCTCAGAGGTACCATACCAAAAGTGGGGGGATTATACAAACAATGTATACTGAATGCTGAGACTATCCCCTCTGCTCTGACCTCCCCATCCCTCTTTCACTCAGCTCCTGAAATGCTGGCAGCCAGTCCTCAAATCCTTCAGATAGGAGACCGGGAGAGTCTTCTCTGTGGAAACTGACCCATCCAAGAGGAAACACCTAAAGGTACTAAGATCAAGATTTCTCAACCAACAGCCCAGCCAAATCTAAGGAGAATTTCAGGAGAGACCAGTCTGACCCACATGGTAAGAGCTTCTGATCCACACAAGCAGACAACCAAGGACTACAGACATCTAAAGAAATTCTCGGGATAGAAATCAAAACAAAAGGGAAAGGATTTTCATGGAAAGTGAGTGTGCAAGAAGAAAAAAAATTGTTTAACTATCAGTAATATGGTCAGAGAGATAAAGATATAGCTATTTAAAAATACCACAATGTCATAAAAAATTCAGAGGAATAAGCTCTTTGAAATTAAAAATTTGCAAAAACTGAGAAACTCAATAGAAGAATTTAAAGAATAAGTTGAAGAAATTGCTAAGGAAGCAAAACAACAAGAAAAAAAAAAGCAAAAGAGATGGAAGTTGGAAAAAAAAACATTAGGCAACCTGTCCAATTGATTGAAAGCCAACATCTGAGTTTTAGGAGCTGTAGAAAGTGGAGGGAAGAAAACCATCAATTGTATAATTCAATACTTCCCAGAACTAAAGGGCATGAGTTTCCACATTAAGGGATTAGGAATGATAACATCCTCCAGAATTCTCAATAGTAACACTGGAAGTCAAAAGACAATGGAGCAATGACTGAAACATCCTGAAGAAACACTATTTCCAAGTTAGAATTCTACCCCCAGCCAAACTATTAACCAAAGAACAGAATAAAAAATTTCCAGACAGGTGAAATCTTAAAATAATTACCTCTGTACTCTCTTAGGAGGCTACTAAAGGATATGCTCCATTAAAAAGAGGAAGTAGCTCAAGAAAGCAGGAAACATGGGATATAGGAAAGAGTAGATGGGCAACAGGAACCCCGTGGATGACAGCTGTACACCCACACTGAGGGCCACAGGACCTGACAAGCCAGTCAGAGGCTACATTGGTGGAATGCCTGAGGCAAATGACGATAAGAGATTTACACAACAGACAGAGGATGAAATACTTATAAATAATATGGATCAACTAATCAACCATAATGAAATTCAGGGATAAGAAAAAGCACAGAAAAGAAAAAGTCATGGTTAATTCTATGATGCAGCTCAGAATAGCAAACTTGGTCAAAACAAAGCCAATGCTAATATTGATCTAACCAAAATTGTAACTTTATTTGGGAGAATGGATTAGAAATGGGGGCAGGATGAGGTCAAAGGAAAGAAAACAAAATCCCTGTTTCTTTTTGTCTTCCCTGGGGTCCTAGGATTGCTGCTTTCTGAACAAACCTTATAAAACAAGTTAACTCATGAAACTACGTGAACAAGTGATTTTGGAGAAAATAAAACTTAAACAACTGAACAGGTTATGAAGGATAAAGCAGTGATAGCCAGAGTAGGCAAGTGTAAAAGAGCTCACTGTGAAAGGGAGTAGAGAGATGATGAGTAGATAGAGAAAGGATGCGGATGGTGTAGGTTTTTTAATGTAGGAGATAACAAGAGCAGGGTCAAGTGCTGACGGTAAAGATTCAACTGAATGAGGGAGACTGAAAATGGGGAAGCTAGGAGGGGGATGTGTGGAGTCTCCTGCTAACATGTGCTGGGACACTGGCTGAGGAGGGTGTTTAATCGGAATGGAGAAAACAGGGTGCAGCTATTGGAGGGTCTGTAGACCTGGTTACAGAAGGAAAGGGAAAGTCTCTTGACACAGAATCATCAGTTGAGAGTGAGGGGCATGTGGGAGGAGATGAGGAGGAGAAAAGTGAGAATATAATCCACTCCTTGCAGAGAGTGGGAGGAGAAAGTCACTGAGGAACTGCAGGTACTGTGCATCTGAAGAGCGCCTAGTTGAAGTGTAACCTTCAGTGTCCCACCTGATATCCTAAGAAATGCTCAATAGTTGAATCTTCTAAAAAACAAACATAGAAGAAAAGAATGAAAAGAAATAAAAGATTAACAGTGATTATGTCTGAATTCTAGAACTATAGGTCTTCTATTCTCTATTTTTCAATTTTGAAAAGCAAGCATATATATATTATAATGGAAATATTAATCTCTATTTTTCAAAGGGAATCCTAAGTTTTGGTTCATGGAACTAAGTGGCACATAATGATAATACTGTGTTCAAGAGATAATGTGTAGCCCTGGCCAGTGTGGCTCAGTGGTGAGGGCATCAGCCTGAGCACCAAAGGGTCTCGGGTTCAATTCCCGGTCAAGGGCAGTACCTGGTTTGCAGGTATGATCCCCTGAGGCATGTTTGGGAGGCAACCAATCGATGTCTCTCTATCTCTCTTTTCTCTCTCTCCACCCCCTTCCACTCTTTCTAAAAATCAATGGAAAAAATATCCTTGGGTGAGGATTAACAAACAAAAAGATAATGTTTATAGCAAAACACTGAAATAACCTAAATGTTCATTCTTCAGTGGAGAACTGGTAAAAATAATTAGGCATGTTCATATAGTTGAATTCTATGCAGCTATTAAAAGAATAGGAAGTTCTTTATATACTGAAATGGAAGTTTCTCCAAGACATATGGTCAATAGAAAAAAAAATAATAATGAACAGTGTATACAGTATCTGTTAACCAAGAGTTAATATTAAGCATAAAATTTCATATAGAAGGATCAATAAAAAGAATGAGGCAGGAGGGATTAGTTAAAAAAAAAACAACAACACAGAGAACTCATGGACGTGGACAACAGTGTGGTGATTGCAGGGGGGAGGGTGTGGGGGAGGTGGAAGAGGGCATGAAGGGGATAAATGGTGATGGAAAAAATAAAATAATATATAAAAAAGAATGAGGTAAATGTTTATATGATGATACGGAAACATCTTCAAAATACATTACTAATTGAAAATGAAGACATGCAATGGTGTGTGCAGTACATTTCCATTTTGTAAAAAAAAAGTACAAGTGACTATATACATAATATACATAATACAGAAACTGGCAAGGGTAGTGGTTTCTTCAAATAATGGTATACAAAATGTTATCTTACAGCCGGAGGAGCACCGGATTCAGGGGTGCGGGCACACACAGCTGCCTACCTCCTCAAGCATCACGATGGAGTCCCGGAGCACGCCTTTCAAACGATGGGCCTGATCCTTATGCTTTTGACTGTTTTCTGCTCGTGACACCACATCAGAGGCTAAGCTGAAAGAAAAATACCATCTTAAAAATCAGGGGAATAGATGCTAATCTTTTATTTTCAGAAATCACCAGTGTTCCATAATTTACAAACAAAACAAAAACTTAAGAAACAAAGAAAGTGTGACTACAAAATAGTTGGCAGAACAAAATCTCCAAAACAGGGATTAAGTTTTCTGCATTAGAGAACTATTGAAATAATAATAGGCTGAAGGGAAATAAAGACTTACTTTAAAGATTTCTCTTCCTGGAGGTGGAGACGGTAAAAGGTCTGAGCAGCATATTCTATCTTTGACAACTTCAGAAACAGTGTCACATTCAACAAAACTAGCAACAGCAAGCTAGGCAGAGCAAATCATACCTGGTTAATCCACTCTTGTCTAGACCTAAAGCACTGCTAATGCAGAATATACATACAAAACCTTCAAAAATGTATATTACTAATTATTATTAGTATTTAAATCAATTATCCCTGTTATATAAAATCATTACTTTTAAGTTTTAAATGGACACAGGAAATAGTTAGCAGGTAACTACAGTGACGGTCAAGTTCTCAAAGAAAGTAGGGTGGGACTGTCCCTGACATATCTCCTCTCTGCACATCCCAGCCAGTGCTGATGTGTGACATCCCCCAGCTTAGACATCTACCAGGCATGCTTTCAATATCTGTTTTTGGATGCTTTTTGGCTTAAGCAGTTATAAACCCATAATGCTGAACTTCAAACAGAAAATGAAGATCAATATGGACTAATCTTAGGTAGATCATGATGTACCTGTTATTCCCAGTAGAAGCCAAAAGAAATTTTTAAAAATTACCATTCAGCCCTGGCCAATTAGGCTCAGTGGTTAGAGCATGGGCCCACAGACCAAAGGGTCTTGGGTTCAATTCCTGGTCAAGGGCACATACCTGGGTTGCAGGTTTGATCCCCAACCCTGGTTGTGGTTGTGCAGGAGGCAATAAATCAATGTTTCTCTCACATTGATGTTTCTCTCTCTCTCCCTCCCTCCCTTCCACTCTGTCTAAAAGTCAATGGAAAAATATCCTCCAGTGAGAATTCAAAAAAAAAAATTACCAGTCAGCAAAAATTTCAAGTTCATCTTGGACAAAGAAAGTATCAAATCCCAAATATACATTAATGGTATCATATATAAAATAGTACATGCTAGCCTGGCTGGTGTAGCTCAGTGGTTGGGCATCGACCCATGCACCAAGGGGTCGCAGTTTGATTCCAGGTCAAGGCACATGCCCAGGTTGTGGGCCAAATCCCCAGTGGGGGGCATGCAGGAGGCAGCCAATCGATGTTCTCTCTCAAATATGTTTCTGTCTCTTTCTCCCTCTCCCTTCCTTTCTCTCTAAAATCAATAAAGGGAAAAAAAAATTTTTTTTAAATAGTACATGCTAAATGAACTTATTCTGTTGGTTCTCACAACAGCCTTTCAAGTGAATGGATATATTTCTTATTACAAATATATGGAAATATATAGGTGGCATCTATATCTCATTTCTTCTGTTAAAATACTGACTTGCCCTTAAAAGTCTACAGTATTCCCCTTTATCCATCCAGAAGAGGATATTTTAAAAAATTAAAACTAATGTAGTAGCAAGAAAATCAAATCTATGAAGTTATTATGGGACTGAAATGGTACATATACAGATAAACATCTCAACATTTGAGTATAAACTTCTTGCGAAGTAATGTAAAAGACCACTGATAATACTTAGTATTCAAAATTGTCACGGTAAACAGATGTAGCCAGAATATGAAGCCCTTTTTATAAAACTCAAAGACAAAACAATCATTTTCTATGTTCTAAAATCTATAATTAGAAAAAAAGCTGATAAAAGAACTTCATTCCAAAAAATTTCTAGACTATATCACCCAGCCAGAACCAATTCAATGGGATCTAAAGGACTACTTCAAGATTCACATACCGCCATGTAGATAATAGTAGTCTAAATATGACTGGCTAAATGGATTCCTCTAGAATACTGAAATTCAGACTAATTGCCCCAGTATTTCTCTTCAGGTGATCCTCAGATAACTTTCATCAGAATAACCTACACAGTGTATTAAAATACTGATTCCTGATCTCTACTCAAGACCTACTGACATCTCTGGAATTGAGGCCGAGAAATTTGCATTTTAGCAAGTGATTCTTATGCATAGTAAAGGGTAAAGACTACTGGTCTAATCAAGAAGAGTAATATAGCATTACTGGAATTTCACCAGTCTGCATATGTAAATACTCTCTTTAAATTTATGGGACATCCCATAAAAATATATGACAGAAGAAATAAATCAAATTAGTTTAAAAAATAAAAACATTTATTGAATATGTACTTGGTATTGCATCTAATTTAATAATTCTTCTGAAAATCATACATAAAAAATTATCAGTCTAACTACAAAGAAAGAAAACTGCAGGCCAATATCCCTGATGAACATAGACGCCAAAATCCTGAATAAAATACTAGCAAATCGGATCCAGCAATACACCAAAAAAATTATCCACCAAGTGGGATTCATCCCGAGGATGCAAGGTTGGTAAAATATTCTCAAATTAATAAACGTGATACACCACATAAATAAAATGAAAAATAAAAACCACATGATCATATCAATAGATGCCAAAAAACCTTTGACAAAATCCAGCATCCATTTCTGATAAAAACGCTCAGCAATGTGGGAATAGAGGGATCATATCTTGACCTAATAAAGGCCATATATGAAAGACCTACAGCCAACATCATACTCAATGGGCAAAAACTAAAAGCATTTTCCTTAAGAATAGGAACAAGGCAAGGATGTCCACTTTCGCCACTCTTATTTAACATAGTACTGGAAGTCTTAGCCATAGCAATCAGACAGGAAGAAAAAATAAAAGGGATCCAAATTGAAAAGGAGGAAGTGAAACTGTCATTATTTGCAGATGACATGATACTACATGTAGAAAACCCCAAAGACTCCATCAAAAATTTACTAGACTTAATAAATGAATTTGGAAAAGTAGCAGGATACAAAATTAACATTAAGAAATCGATGGCATTCTTTTACACCAATGATGAACTCACAGAAAGAGAAACTAAGAAAACAACCCCATTTACCATTGCGGCAGAAAAATTAAGATACCTAGGAATAAACTTAACCAAAGAAATAAATTCGCAGAAAACCACATGTCGTTGAAAAAAGAAATGGAGGAAGATATAAAAAAGTGGAAGCACATACCTTGTTCATGGATTGGAAGAATTAACATCATTAAAATGTTCATATTACCCAAAGCAATCTATAGATTCAATGCAATCACCATCAAAATACCAACAGCATACTTCACAGAATTAGAACAAGTACTTCAAAAGTTCATATGGAACCAAAAAAGACCTCAAATAGCCACAGCAATCTTGAAAAAGAAGAACAAAGTTAGAGGGACCACACTACCAGATTTCAGGTTATAGTACAAAGCCACTATAATCAAAACAGCCTGGTACTGGCACAAGAACAGGCATATAGACCAGTGGAACAGAACAGAGAACCTAGAAATGGACCCAAGGCAATATGCTCAATTAATATTTGACAAAGGTGGCAAGAGCATACAGTGGAGTAAGGACAGCCTCTTTAATAAATGGTGCTGGGAAAATTGGACAGCTACATGCAGAAAAATGAAACTAGACCATCAACTTACACGCTACACAAGAATAAACTCAAAATGGATAAAAGACTTAAATGTGACTCATGAATCCACAAAAATCCTAAAAGAAACTGTAGGCAACAAAATTTCAGACATCATACGCAGCAGAATTTTCACTGATACATCACCTAAGGCAACAGAAACAAAGGAGAAAATGAACACATGGGACTATAGATCAAACTCAAAAGCTTCTGCACAGCGAAAAATACAATCATCAAAACGGAAAGGCTACTCACTGTATGGGAGAGCATAATTGCCAATGATATATCAGATAAGGGGTTAATTTCCAATTCATATAGAGTGCTCATACAACTCCACAAAAGGAAGACAAAGAACCCAATTAAAAAATGGGCAGAGGAACTAGATAGACACCTCTCCAAACAAGACATACAAATGGCTAAGAGACATATGAAGAAATGCTCAACATCACTAATCATCAGAGAGATGCAAATTAAAACAACAATGAGGTATCATCTCACACCTCAGAATGGCCGCCATCAACAAATCATCAAACAACAAGTGTTGGCGAGGGTGTGGAGAAAAGGGGACTCTAGTATACTGCTAGTGGGGATGCAGACTGGTGCAGCCACTATGGAAAACAATATGGTGTTACCTCAAAAAATTAAAAATTGAACTTCCAGTTGACCCAGTGATCCCACTTCTAGAAATATACCCTAAGAAGCCTGAAACACCAATCAGAAAGAATATATGTACCCCCATGTTTGTAGCAGCACTATTTACAATAGCTAAGATCTGGAAACAGCCCAAGTGTCCACCAGTAGACGAATGGATAAAAAAGCAGTGGTACATATATACAATGGAGTACTACGCAGCTGTAAGAAAGAAAGATCTCTTATCCTTTGAGACTACATGGAGGGACCTGGAAAGTATCATCCTAAGTGAAACAAGCCAAACAGAGAAAGACAAGTTATCATATGATCTCACTTATTTGTGGAATATAATGAACATAACAGTCTGAGGAATGGTGTAGTCCCAGAGACGTGGAAGTAGGGTATAGACTGACAATCGCCAGAAGAGGGGTTGGTGGGGGAGAGATAAACCACAGAACTTATATGCATGTATGCATGAACAATGGACATGGACAGCAAAGCTGGGGACAGGGCAGGGAGGGAGGGGGAGGGGGAATCAGTTGGGGGTAAAAGGAGAAACATCTGTAACAAAAATTAATAAAAAAAAATTTATCAGTCTAAAGAATATAAAATTACTGTTTTTGCAGGCCCAAACTGGTCAAATAGTAACAAGTCCTACATAATATACAAATGTATTCAAATCCTTTTGTAAACTGTTAAAAGTAAAAACACAAGCTAAATAAGCATTCAAAACAAATACTTACAAAATACTCATCACCACAATCAGGATGAAGTTATAGCTTTCCATTTCTTTTTTCTTTCCTACAGATTACACACAAAAAAGGCTGCATTAAAATCAGGATTATGATTACAACTGATAAAATTTTAATTTCATTTGAAAAGAACTAGAAAAGAAAAATTTTAAATTATTTGTAAAGACAAAGTGATTTAGGGTGAACTTCCTGCACCTTTTTATGGTTTCTGACATCAAGAGTAATATGAACCAAATCTATAAAAAGAAAAATTACTTCAGTCCTTCAAATTTGGCCCATATTACAAATTAATTTACTCTAAAATTAAATATGCAATTCAATACATCATGTATGATTTCTAGCTAAGTTCTATCTCTGCAAATAATTTTGAGCTAGGTTTATGTATAATACTTCCCTCCTTAAAAAAATGTTTAAGTCATCTTCACCTGTTCTCTATTGCCCACACTTCTAAATTCCAAAATTAGAGCCATTAACTTAAACATATTTGAAGTAAGAAGTAAGGAGGCCAAAGGAGAGGGAGGTAGGGGTGAGTGATGGTGGCAAAGTCAGGGAGAAACAGGGGACACCTGCAATAATGTCAACATTAAAAATTTTTAGTGAAAAAAAAAAAAGGCTTAGAAGGGAATTTTATAAAGTAGAAGGATGAGAAGGTATTACAGCTTTATAGTTCTGAGAGGGAGAGAATAACAGTAGAGGCAGGATGTCTTCAAATTTGAGAGGATAAAAAGTCAAATTCTATCTTTGCGATTTTGCTGAACTGGCCTTAACGGTATATAAGGATTAAAAACAATCATTGTAGTACGATCAAGGGTAGAGATCAACTGTCTGTACATGCTGGGCAGGGAATGAATGAGCGAAGCGTCCAGCAGCCAGGAAAAATGGTGGATACTGGTGGCCTGCGGACTTGGTCTAATGAAGCAGCTACTGTTAAACTCCAACCAACTATTGCTCTGAAAGGATTTGGGTCCAGAGCTATCAGATCTGAATTTATACACAAAAATTTTCACTTTTTAAAATACCACATGGCCCAATAAAATACTTGTATTGACCATAACACCTGCCCTTTTGCAACTGCTAGAGTCATTTCCTGCTTCATATAAGTAAACTAAAATCTTCCATCTCTGTTTGCCAGATGACAGCTACCTGCAATGTCCTCTTTGGCATCTAAACCCCCATCTCCAGAAGAACGCTGGGAAGAAAGTTTAGGAACTGTTTCTGATGTCCGGTTGAATGTACGCCTTCTCCTTCGTAGGCCACTAAGTTTTCCAGGGTCTTCAATGGACTGACTTAATATAGATTCTTCCATTAACAAATCTGATTCTGAGAAGGAAAAAAATCTTTAGGTGTTGGAGAAACCTTCTCAATTGTAAGATACAGGGGGTTTGGTGGTTGTTTCGTGTTCTATTTGTGTTTTTAAGCCTTGGAAACTTTCTTTAATAATTACTTAGGTTCTTATGGCCTAGATTCAAACCTTACTCTTAATGAAACGTTTTGGAGAGTACAGTGATCCCACAATAAGGCTTCATTATTCTAGGAAGAATGAACTGTATTAATAAATGATGGGATCATAAGAGCAAATTTGCCATGTGCTATATTAAATATTAATGATTTCAGTTATAGAAACAACAGGCTACCCACTTATATTGGATCATTAGAAAAATTTCTAAGATAGATTATGGTACTTGATGGTCAATTTCAAAGGAGTAGCATATAACAGTTCTAATTTACAACAAGGGTTTGCAAAAAAGGAAGCCCTAATAAAGAAAATCTGCAAAAACCTTCATTTTTGTCAATTATTTCAACCTTTTCCTTTACCAGATTTTTTCATTAGCAGCTCATTTCCAGTGTCCAAACTAATTTTTTAGTTTCATTTTCTTTGTTCCTGATTAGGAGTTTAATAATGAAATAACCAAAGAGAAAAGCAAGGAAATTAAATAACCAACAATCTGGAGGATGATAGAGAAATTAACCTGAGTTGACTGACCACCAGCTTTTCTTTAACTAAAATTAATAATGCTCATGTAGGTATTTTTTTTTCTCATGTATATTTTAAGGAATATCCAAACAGAACTACTGTAGTACTCCCCGCAGTCTAGTACCCACCTCCACAAAATTCACACATGTACATGATACCACTGCTTAATGGGCCTGCATAAACCTAGGAAAGCTGCATTGGTAAGGCAGGTATGGGCCTGAGGACTCTCCAAATATTAGCAAGCACAGGCGCATATTTATGATCCAGTACGTAGGCCCTCGCTCCAGTCAGCTTCCTTGGCTCCATGCAGAGTCAGGCGAGTGTGATATCTCCTAACTGTGAGGTTGGGCAAATCATTTAACCTCTTTCTCTGTGTTTCAACATTTCTTATTCAGTAAAATGGGAAAAAAAAATATTAATAGCACCTACCTCACAGTTTTGTAATGAGTTAATATTTATAAAGCACATAGAACAATGTCTGGCATATAGTAAAAAATATATAAGTGTTTGTTAGACCAATGAAAATTAAGTTTGAAGTTCCAAGTGGGGTAGTCACAACCACACTTCAGTGTGAGGCATTCTAACATGATCTACCGGTTTCTGCTATGAATCCAAATGAATAATTAGTCCATTTTGTTAATAGATGCCATTTTTACAAAAATAGATACACTGAGAAATTTACAAACCAAGCTGTTTGAAATAGTCTTCCAATGAACTCCAGGAATTCTTCTCAATTACAGATTTGATAATGGCCCATGGTTGTTTTCTGTATTTCAAATCTGTGGAAACTCTAATAGGATAAGAATAATATTTATTTAAAGAACAGAATTTAGTTATATTAACATTGCAATTTAATATAAGATTGTATTCAGTGGGGAGCTTAAAAAATTCAGTCATTTAGATTATAAAAGAAAATTTGTTTACTGATAATGACTTCTTTCAAAAATTACTGTGTGCTACTAAGAACTTCAAATTTTCCTTCTAAGAACTTGACATTTTATTTCTTTTCTTTCTCTAATCCTGAATTTTCTTTATTTAAATAACAGAAACATCTCAAAGTAAATTCTAAATTTGCTAAATACCTTGTATAAAAAATCTCCAGTGGTCACAAATTAGTTGAAAACTACATTAGCTAAGACTAGGCCAAGCATTTGCTGGCCCATCACTCACTTCAATGAACCAACATTTCTTGTTTCCCACTGCAACAGAGTCGCTCCCTGCTCACTGTGTGCCCCTCAAGAACTCCCAGCCCCCTTGCCATTAAACAGGGTCTGGTGACTAGTTCTGGCCTCTGCACTGTGAGCACAGTTCTACAGCCCTCTCTTCCTGCAGCAGCTGAAACGACACATCCGGGATTGTGTGGCTCGAGGATGTCAAAGCATTCGTGGGCTTGGGCCTTGAGGGAGGAGCCCCTTCCCTCTGCTAACCAACGGTGGACGTGTACTTTGGACAAAGTATAAAGCTTTGTTGTTTAAAGCTACCACTAAGATCTTAGGGTTACTAATATGCTGACTAAAGCACTCCTTTGCAGTAGCTCACCTCAGCCGACATTTCTGCTTTGAAGATGGGATGATATAGTATCTGTTCAGAGTGTAGAAGTAGTCGTGGTAGGGGACATCATGTGTCAGCACTTCTGAATCTACCAAATAAAATTGTGCTTCCCGACTTTCTTTATATAGTGTCTGCCAAAATAAGATAATTTTTTTTGCATGTACATGTTTAATATATCAAATTCCTTGCCCATTCAGAACCTATATATTAGAATTTCTTCTCCGAAACAACAAAAGACATGCAAAGCCTACGTTCAAAGCCAGAAGAGCCTCCATGCTGGCTGTGCTGTCTATGAACTGAGAAGAAAGGACCTGCAGAAATGGTATTTGCTGCCTCTCCATCATTTCATAGTATAATTATTTTTCTTTCTTTCTTTTCTTCTTTATTTATTTTAGAAAGAGAAGAAGGCAGAGGGAGAGAGAGAGAGAAACATCGATGAGAGAGAACATCAATTGGCCACCTCATGCACATCCCCTATTGGGGATTTGGCCCACAACCTGGGCATGTGCCCTGACTGGGAATTGAACTGGTGACCTCTTAGTGCATTGGTTGATGCTCAACCACTGAGCCACACTGGCAGGGCTATTTTTCCTTCTTTTAGGGGAGAGGAGGAGAAAGCAACCATATAATAATCTCTTGTGTTTATTATTAGTTTATACAGAATTTTTAATGTTTCTGTTAGGAAACAATTAAAAAATTACATGAATAAATTAAGGACCCCGCCCCAAAATTCATCAAAGTTTCATAAAACCACCCTTCACCAAAACAAAACACTACTTTCCCTAAACAGGATTTGAAGTGGTTGCTGGCCAAACCTTTCTCATTGTAATCATACCTTTTATACCTATCCTCCAAGATTATCAAAGAATCTCATACCAAAATATCAAAGGTTTCTTAATTGTCTGAAAATCTTTTTTAAAAAAAGTAAGTCCTTTTTAACACTGATGGACAAAACTACAACAGCATGATTAGTTCAGATGTTAATAGACACTTTCAAACTTTTTGCACAACAAATAGACTATACTTCTAACACAAATTGGCCAAACACAAGCTCCACTCTAAAACAGTGCCACACTGGCCCAGAGGAAAGCATCAAATCTCTTATCATCTCTTCCCCATGTCTCACAGCAGCCACCTAGTTATTTGACCCAAACCCTTGACATGATTCTGCAAATCCAAATTCCAGTAGCGTTTTTATTTTATTATTATTTTAATGCTCACCAGAGTACATGCTTCGAGAGAGGAAGGGGAAAGAGAGAGAGAGAGAAACATTGATCGGCTGCCTCCCATATGTGCCCCTACCAGGAATCTAACCTGAAACCCAGGCATGTGTCCTGATCAGGAATTGAACCAGTAACCCTTTGGTGCACAGGACAAAACTCAACCAACTAAGCCATTCCAGCTGGGCCAATGGTGTTCTTTTAAAAACCCATTTATTATTTTTTAAAAAGGTTCAAATATACACAAGAACAGAAATAAAGTATAATGACCCCTCATAAGCTCATCAACCAGCTTCAACATTAACTCCTGCCTGGTCCTGTTTCATCTGTACCCCATTCCCACAATCCCTCCCTACACTCTCCTCCACCACCCTCTGCCTGGCTACATTACTTTTGTTGTTATTGTTGTTAATCCTCACTGGAGGATATTTTTTTTGCATTGACTTTTTTCAGAGAGAGTGGAAAGGAAGGGGTGCCTCCCACCGAGCCCTGACTGTGCCCTTGACTAGGAATCAAACCCAAGACCCCCTGGTGCAAGGGAAGGGGAAGGCAACACTGAACCACTGAACCGTGCCAGCCAGGACTTGGCTGGATTACTTTTAAAGGATATCCCAGACATCAATAGAATTTCACCCATAAACACATAAGCATATCTCTTCAAATTCTTCAGTATGTCTCTTTAAAAGATAAATATTCTTTTCTTTAAAATATAGCTACAATACCATTACACAAACAAAAATCAACAATTCCTTAAATCCCACAAATACCTTTTTTACAGTTGGTTTGTTTGAGTTAAGATTGGGTTGATATGCCTTTTAAAGTCTCTTTTAACCTGTAACAGTTTCTCCTCCCTTTTTTCTTGCCATTTATTTGTTGAAATTGTTTTGTAAGTGGTGACTGGGACAGGCACCTTCTCTCCCCCCACATGCACGATTCTTCTGAACACACGGCAGGGGGGACATACCTGCTTTTCAGTGGCAGCGGTGTACTTGCCAGTGAGCGGATTATTAAGAATGATAGTGTAGGTCATGGTTCTCAGCTGATCACCTCCAGGTTCCACATTCCAAGGGGTGGACACTACATCTAATCACAGCAAACATAAAATGAGTTACTTCTAGAAATTTGAAGGGTATAACTTGAAATGGCATCAAAGAGGTAGTTTTCGAATTATTTAAATTTTTATTTTTGACCAGTCCAAAAGTAAAATTAAATGTTAGGCACTCTTCTTATATGTGATATCCCCCATCGCTAATCTATTTACTTTTAAATTATTGTCTATTAATACACTTTTTGCTTTTCTTGAGAAGATAAAAATAAAAGTTGGTTCATCTGCCGGCTTCTTTTTCAAGTCTCCAGTACCTACAAAGAGAAGTAATGGCACCAGCCTTATCAGAGACCAAACAACACTTCAGCATTCTCATCATTGAGGACAAAACCTTGAAAGACATTTGTCATTATACAACAATGTGGCCTTGATCCCAACTTGTGGAGAAAACATGTCACTGAGAAATCATATAATGTTAATGGCTTATCTGCTGAACTCTTTAATTAAGGAGGGGGTGATAGAATATAAATAACTATATAAACCTATATAGCACAAGCTATAGGATAATCTCTCTGTATTTATGGCAAAATCTTGGTCAAAATTTTCTTTCATTTGATTAGCAACAACACAGTGAGTAAAAACCACACTTTGAACAGAAGTATAGCACTTTAGAACATAGTGCTATACAGCAAAGCTCATTTTACAATCCAAAGACTAGGAAAGTATAGGTAACAGCACCATGAACTCTATTCAAAGATCTGACTAAATCATCTAGTGCTGTTAACACAAATGGACTTGGGCGATTAGTATGTCTGGCTGCTATTCATCAGCATCCTTAAATATAGGAGCCCTCATCTAACCCATTACCTATCATCAAAGGAATGAAGCCAGGCATTATGATCTATCCAATTTTACTCCATTTCTGTCATATAACTAGGCCTCGGGATTTAATAAGGGTTCCTAAAGCTGCCTTTTGAGTATCTGGAAAAATCTTACAACTAAATTTAAAAAGCAGCATCACAAACCATGAAATTTATCATCTAGAATTTGCTATACAAATGGTTTATTTACATGAAAGATATAAAATTCTAAAATACTATTCAAAGGTTACTTTGGTCCTATGTCAACCTGTTTTAAACAAATAATCCATTGTGAATCAGCAATAGAATTTAAAGATATTGTTGAATTCTGCTGTTAAAAACTGCACATTATTCAACAAAGCAGTCATCAACAAGGATAAAAGAATTATCTTCCACTAGTAGTATCACCAATGTTATCAACAAGCCTTTTGAACATCATGCACCATGACATCATCCAATTAACAACTTGGAAAAGTCAAGCCCCCCAATACCTGAGTAAAGCTCATCAAGGTATAAAAAATTAGGGATGAAATTTTAAGAAAAATGGCAACAGCATACAAAAAAGACACATGAGCCATTTTGATATATTGAATTGAAATAATAAAAATCAGGAATTTCAGAACAAATGAATAATCCTTTGATGTAATAAAGTTTTAAAACTGGTGAGTCTTCACACCCATTAGGATGGCTATTATCACACACAAAAATGAAAATACCAAGTTGTCAAGGATGTGGAGACACTGGAACCTTTGCATTGCTGGTGGGAATGTAAAATGATGTCACCACTCTGGAAAACAGTATGACAGTTCCTCAAAAAATTAAACACAGAATTACCTTATGATTCAGCAATTCCACTCTTAGGTATATACCCAAAGAAACTGAAGGCAGGTACTCAAACAGATACGTGTACATCAGTGTTCGCAGCGGCATTATTTACAACAACCAAAAAGTGGAAACAACTCAAAACTTCATCAATATAAGAATGGATAAGCAAAATGTGGTCTATACAGACAATGGAATATGACTCGGCCTTAAAAAGGAATGAAATTCTGACGCATGCTCTAACATGGATAAACCTTGAAGACATTATGGTTAAGTAAAACAAGCCAGTAACAAAGGATTCTAGTTATGGGAGGTACACAGAGGAGTCGAATGAAAAGCGAGAGAAAGTAGAAGGGCGGTCGCCAGCAGCTGGGAGGAAGGGACAATGGGTAGTTCTGTTTAAAGGACACAGAGCTTCACTTTGGGAAGATGACAGACTTCTGCAGCTGGTGGTGGTGATGGCCGCACAGCAATGTAAATGTCGGATGCCACTGAATTGTAAACTTCAAAATGGTAAAATGGTATGTCTTATCTTCTGTACATTTTACCACAATTAAAAAAAATTGGTGAATCTACATGATAGGTATATGCGATTTATTATACTATTCATGTACTTTTCTGAAGATTTATACTTTTTTCAAAGTTAAAAAGTTGAATAAAAAGACAAAAGTGAGCTTTGAAGTACAGAAATAGTCATACAACTGTAAAGAAAGAATACCTATTTAAAAGCTCCCTAATTAAAAAATAATAATTAGCCCTGGCCAGTTTGGCTCAGCGGTTAGAACGTTGGCCCTCGGACCAAGGGGTCTTGGGTTCGATTCCAGTGAAGAGCACGTACCTCAGTTGCGGTTTGGTCCCTGGCCCTGGTCAGGGTCATGAGGGAGGCCACCAATTGATGTGTCTCTCTCACATCGATGTCTCTCTCTCTTTCCGCCCTCCCTCACTCCCTCCCACTCTATCTGAAAATCAGTGGATGATGATTAAAAATAAATAAATAAAATTATTAGATCCAGTAGTAACCATATTAGTGCTGAATTAGATTAAATCTACAAATAACTACTGAAAATTTTTTTCACTAAATCCATGATATTTTTTGAAAGAAGCATTTGAAACCCATTGTTGAGAAGTATAACTGATTACCATGTAACAAGTTCAGAAGGCAGCATAATGGTATGCAATCATAAGCACATTATCTCTTTTGGAAGAAACCTTCTGAGTAATTCAGGTCTAAATAACAATATGCCTATAACTGTTTAGATTTATAATTAGCCAGGAGACTTTGCTTCCCAAAGCCACTTATACCACCAGAGAGCACATATATTCATCTACACTGAAGCCAGATGTGATATCGGACACTAAATGCAGTCATGATTCAAAAAGCAAACTTAATTTAGGAATAACATGCTAGCCCCTTGTGAACCTTTGCAGCCATAAAATAGCAGTGCAGTATCAACAGGCTTCATCTTAGAAAATTTAAACAAATAATGTATCCAACTCTTCTGAAATATCAAGTTCCCCAGGTAGACATGAATAGCAAGAAAATACAAAATAGATTCAGAACAGATATAATAAATGATTTTTAACTATGAAGTTCTTAATATAATCACAAGACTATAATAGCTATCAGTAGAAAATGCTTTGCTACTTTACTATGAATAATAAACAATTATTTTTTGTACCGAGAATTGGTGGATATTTGGGCTTTTTTTTTTAGTTTTGGGGCATTATAAATAATGCTGCTCTGAATAATAGTACATATCATTCAGAGTACATATGTACCCATTTGTGAAGGATATATGCCTCGTAGTAGAATTGCTGAGTCAGACAGAATGCATGTGATCAGCTCTAGTATATTCTGCCAAACCATATTGCAAAGCGATTTCACCAATTTACACTCTACTAGCATCCAGCTGTTCCACAGTGCAGCCCTTTACAATGGGTTCAACCCAACTGAACTGCTACATTAATAAATAAATGGAGTTCTAGTTTTCAAAGGGTCTGAACTGAACTGTAGGTAGGATCTGACTAATTGGACAACTATATTGTTTACATGTGAGTTTAACCAAAACACATAAATACTAGTTTATATATCATCAAAATAAAGTCAGAACCTGCTAAACTTTCCTCCTGACAACATAAACCAATTTATATAGGCTCAACCCTCTAAAGATAATAAAATCTTCCCAAATTTGTCATTAGATAAGAATGCAAGAACCAACCTATTATATTTCTAGAATTGGCAAATCTCTGCATAAAGCGTGAACTGGTGAAGAGCAATTCAAACATTTTCTCAGCACTGATGTGAAAAACACGGTTGATATAAAGTCTTCCACGAAGATCTTTCTCAGGAATATTTTCTGGGGGGAAAAAAAAACACAACATAGAACCAAAAGGGAAGAAATCCAGGAAAGGTAATTTCAAGGTTTGGTTTTGTCCACTTGTTTTTGATACAAAATAGTTTTTTAAATGTGATTACAGTGATCAGCACATTCAGGGCACTAATAAAACTCTAAATTGGTGTTACATACATATGTATGATGAATAACTAACTATACATAAGAGGATATAGTTAACTATGATGATCAATATTTCAGTTGTCAATACCCAAAAAGATAAAGAAATATTTAACTTGAATGACATCAAACTCCCATAATGTATCGCTCAAAAGACTACAGTGATACCTCGGTTCTCGAACATAATTCGTTCCAGGAGGACGGTCGAGAACCAAATTGTTCGAGAACCGAAGCAATGAAACCCAATAGGAAATAATGGAAACTGGATTAATTCGTTCCAAGCCCCAGAAAATGCCTATTTACTGGCCTAATTTGTATATAATATGTAGAAAAACATAAGTCTCAACAAGAAATAAAAGTGTACAGTATGTCTAAGGGTTAAATTCAGTGTAAAGCGTGACTCTCTCCACAAAGCGTGACTCTCTCTCTGCACTCACACTGAACACGCAAGCAAGGCGCGCTGGGCCGAATGAACGCCATTCGGCTCAACTCGGCTCATCTCGGAAGTTCGAGTTCCAAATATTTGTTCGGATTCCAAGACAAAAGTTTCTCGAATCCCCTGGTCGAATACTGATTTGGTTGAAATCCGAGGCGTTCGAGAACCGAGGTATCACTGTATTTCAAAGGGGACAAGGGCAGGACTGATGCACAGAACGGCACCCGCCACAGCTCTTAGGCCCACTCTGAATGCTCGTACATTCAGTATGCACACATTCACGAATGGTTCTATCTGCTGCGCTCACTCACTTGCTAGCCTCGAATATGATTTCAAACTTGACTTAAAGCTGCTCCCCAAGGCAAGTAGCATTGTATTCACAACCTATTCTTAATATCACACATTAAAATAATAAATCCTTCTGGAAAGTACGCTTCAAAGCTAAATCATGTTCAGTGGAATATTACATTTTTCTGGGAACCTGATAATGACAAAGAGGTTGAAAACTACTGGCTGCCACTGAAGCAGCAGTGTCTGCCACCTCTCCTCATAGTCCTAGGAAACATTCAATAAAATAGCTCATGCTTGCCCTGGCTGGCTTGGTTCAGTGGTTAGAGCATCAGGCCGTGGACCAAAGAGTCACAGGTTCGATTCTGGTCAAGGGCATGTACCTCCGTTGCAGTTTGTCACTGGCCTGGTCGGGGTCATGTGGGAGGTGACCAATTGATATGTCTCTCTCACATCGATGTCTCTCTCTCTCTCTCCCCCCCCCCCTTCCTCCCTCCCTCCCCCTCTATCTGAAGATAAATGGAAGAATATCCTTGGGTGAGGATGTTTTTAAAAAGCCCATGCTTGTATGGCGCTCACTATATGCCACGCATTGTGCTAAGCACCTTACAAGTATCCACTCACGCTCAGAACAACCCTGAGAGATAAGTGGTGTCACCATCATTTCCACTGTATAGATGAGCACACTGAGGCATGGAGAGACTCGCCAAAGCCCCACGGCTAGTGACTGACAGAATTGGAACTGGAATTCACTCCAGCTTCCAAGCACAGATACTTAAACTCTATTTTATACTTTCAGGAGTTTGACTTAGAAAAATCAAAAAGAAAAGAAAAGATAGCTAGAAATAGGAGCTTAAAGTAAAGAAAACACAGCAAAGCAATCCAATATGAAATTTGAGTGATTTCAGGACTGGGGTTATTTGTTACTTCAAGGATTATGCCCCATCAATACAGAATGGGAACTGTGACCAAGTATTTCAGAAATCAAGCTCTAAGAAGTGTCTGTGCAGAGCGCCTGTCAGTATTACACCAGGGGACGCAGTCTGGGAAAGTAAAGGACTGGTCTAAGAATCAGAAAAACTCTTCTAGCTCTGCCTTCATCCCAACTATTGCTTTTTCTCCCTCATTAAATCATTTGTGTCTCTCTACTTTGCTACGGGTGCACAGAACTTAGAGATATCAAGTAAATATTGATTTACCTTCTTCTTGCAACAAAGCTATTCACCGCAACTTCAAATAGTGGCTCCTTCTGCATAGAAATGAATCACGGAAACTAGGCAATTTGCTGAGGTTTTGTGAGGCAGCTTCCCAATTAGGCTTGATATATAGCTTTTCTGACATAGAAGTACTTATGTTCATTGTAAAGGTAATTCAGATGTTCACAAAGAAAGCAAACAAGTACAAGTGATTTTATTGGTCCTGCTCATTTCTTCACAGAACTTATTCCAACTTATCTATCTATCTATCTATCTATCTATCTATATGTTTATATAATTTTTTTTTTTTTTTTTTTGGTACGTGCCCCTAGTGGGAACCAAACCCGGGACTCTCTGGTCTGCAGGCCAACACTCCAATCACTGAACCAAACCAGCCAGGGCTGTAATTATATTTTTGTCGGCTTATTGACTTGGTCATTGTCTTGCTCCTGCATTGAACTCTAAGTTCCATGTGAGTAGGGACCATATTGATCTTATTTGATTTTATTTATGATTATTATTATTTTGGTTAATCTTCACTCAAGAATGTTTTTTCCACTGATTTCTAGAGACAGTGGAAGGCGAGGGGTCGGGGGGGCGGGCATTGATGTGAGAGAGACACATCAATTGTCTGCCTCCTGATGGCTGCCTCCTGATCATGCCCCACCTGGGGCCAGGTATTGAACCTGCAACCCAGGTATGTGCCCTTGACCAGGAATCAGTCAAATCTGAGACCCTTTGGTCCATGGGCAGACAGTCTAACCACCTAACCACACAAGCCAGGGCGGGTCCATGTTGATTTTAAACACCAATGTATGTATGTGCTTGGCACATAGTAAGTATTAAATAACTATTTTTGATTGAATAAGTGGTTATTATGGTCTATTTTTATTTATATAACTTTGAATTTACAACTATACTTTTTAACATTGGTGAGTAATTTTAGATGTACAATTAACTAAATTAGGCTTTAACCCCACCCCCACCCCGGTAATGTCCTTTTCTGTACTAGGATCCAACCTAAAATATCACGTTGTATTTAGTTATATCTCATTAGTCTCCTCCAATCTATGACTGTCCCTCCTTTCTTTCTTCTTTTTCAAAGGCCTTAACACATTTGAAAAACACTGGTCAGATATTTTATAGCATGTCACTCAATCTGGGTTCATCTGAGTTTTTTTCATGATTAAAACAGGGTTGTGGATTTGGGGTAAGAACACCACAAAGGTGAAGTGCCCTTCACATCAAACTGGGGGTGGGGGTGGGGGTGGGGGTACACATGTCAACATGATTTGTGATGATGCTAACTTTGATCACTTGGTTAGGGTGATGTCTGGCAGGTTTCTCCATTGCAGAGATACTATTTTCCCCTCCCATATTCTGTCTATTAGAAATGAGTCACTAAGTTCAGCCCATACTCAAGGACAGGAGATTTAAAGCTCCAGCTCCTGGAAGGGGTAGTACCTACATACATTGTTTGGAGCACTGTGAGAAAGATTTGTGCTTTATTCAATCATTTATATCAGTATGAACTCAGGAGTAGTTATTTTATTCTCTAGGTTATAATCCAATACTATAATCATTTATTTTGTTGCTCAAACATTTTTACTTGGCTATCAGGAGCTCTTTCAGGTTGACTCCTGTGTCCGTTTGTCATGCACTATATGTTCTGGCACTACAAGACAGCCTAGGCTCATTTCGTATATTCCCCACCCAGCCCTAGAAGCAGCCATTTCTCTGAGGAACCCTGGAAAAGTAAACTTCTTGTTCACATTTAAGAAGGAAACAAATCACACTCAAATAGGTATTTTAATATAATATTTTCATATTTCATTTAAGCTTCCTTATGAAATAAACTATTCTGTATTATAACAGATACAAATAGAATTTGTGGTATCACTAAAGGAAATTAACAATAATACCTCTTGTATGTAAATGTGTTCAAAGAAGTAAGGGTATAAACTAAACTATTTCTACCTGGGATTATTTATGCATGAAATTCATATTTCAAAGCTTCCTATCCAAGTAACATCACCAACAGCACTGCTGTGACATATTAAGCTAGCAGCTGATATTTTAAATGGGGAATGGAACACAGCTCAACGTAGTAGCGGCTACCTTTTCCAATAAAGAAAAAATACCATTTCAAACACATCAGTTTGAAAGTGCCAATGGAAATGGTAGGGGAAGTGAGACAGATACATCTGAAAAGGACGTGGACATAAATAAAACTGAAACAAATGGTGATAGTGTTTTGAAGGTGCTTGGAAAATGTAGTAGGTAGGTTTGCAAGAAAAGCAGGTGATTTGGAGTTTAACCGAGTGACTGAGGACACAGTCTGTTAAATCTTCTTCCTTTTCTAAAAACTGGTGACCAGCTGTCTTCTTGACTCGATTGAGGGCTTTCTTCACACCTGGACAACCACATTCGATTTGAGAGCACTGTTCAGAAACCTGACTTGGGTAACAGTGCCTGGGTTACCCCTGCTCAGCTGCTCCCTGACATGCTAGACTATCTCACGGCTTTTCTCTGGCTTTCCCCAGAGGTCTACTTGTCTTCACCTTTATTAATTAATAAGCACCACTTGATATTCTGATTCCTGTTTCTCTTTGCACGGCTTTGCCTCTAATTCATCTTGTTCTGTCAGATGTAGATCATGGATTCCAATTTTGCTATTTTTAGGCACTCCTCCCCCCACTTAATCTTTGCCTTAGTTTCCATTCTCGGCATAAGTCACTTTGGTTAGGAAACCCTATCACACCAAGTTCTTACCCCAGCTATACAAAACTAAATTTAACTTCCATCACATGACACAGGCCAGGTTTCTCAAGCCATGAGCTAGTTTGTCCCCTTCCACTCAAGGCTCTACCTCCTGGGGCAAATGTTTCACAGACTGCCCTTGGCATGACAGAACAGGGCAGGTAGATGTAAATCCTGATAGCAACAGAAATATTAGATCCTTGGAAACACAACCATAATGTCCTTGTACTTGTGGATGTAGTCACACTGTGTCTACTCATATTCATTTGCCAGGAAACTCCCAGTATCTTCTCAAATGCTCTGAACTCCTCCCCCAAAGTAGGCAAATAGTAAGCTAAGGAAAGTCTATTCAGCAACAACCCTGCGAAACCAAGTTCTGTGGCTTTTTCTGTGAATTATTACATATCAAAGTTTTAAATGAGTAATACGTTTAACACAATGCTTAGCGTTTTGTTCTGCAGCTGGAGGCCCAGAACCCACTTCTGGAAGTACAGAAATATCCCTAAAAAAGGCACCCTTCATTCTTGGTGGGTCTGAACTGCCCAGTGTACACTAACAACAAGAAAAGATAAGCTATGCACAGCAGATTCTCGGCTTTCCCTATCTGGGCTCCAGTTAAACTCCACTTCAAGGGAACTGTGCTAGAAATTACTTCAGGTCCCTCCACGAGGTAGTTCATGGTGCTTTGTTGATTCCTCTCAAGTTTACATGGGTCTAAGAAGTCTCTATATCAAAATAGTCCATTACCTCCCTCCCAAAGATTATAGGCTATATGTAGTAGAAAAGAAATCCTCTCATTTTCTCATTCAACCTGCTCACAATAGTAGATCAAAATACTATTATTTTAAATTAAGTGAGGCTTGGTTTAAAGTAATCTGCCATTTACTTAGCTCCCTCAAATCCCCACACACATTTCCAAATTTCTTGGCATGGTTTACTCCTCTTGACCTTTCCCATCATCTCCTCAGTTCATGGACTTCAAGCATTCTCTTAACCTCATAACTTACAGAAACAAAACAAGAGTTTCATTATAAAACCCACTTAATATGTTTGATAAGCCCGAGATTTTGGAACCTGCTTAGGGAAAGCAACAGGAATACTGGATTTATCAAGTGATGATCTAATAAAAAAAAAATGCCATCCCATACACCTTCATGAAAACCTGTACAAACAGAAGGCTGAATGTTGCTTGGAAGATGTCACTGCTGGAGAGCCCAACGGTATCTTTAAAGAAGCGCCAGCAAGGAGCAAAATGTGATCGGGGTTCACTGTTACTCTTTATTTCTAGATATGAACACAGCTGATACAAATTTTTATGTTATGCTTTATGTAACCTATCATTAATGTTAATTTTATAGGAACTCAATAAGGAAACTACTTTTTTTGTTTTTAATCCTCACCCAAGGATATTTTTTTCTCTTTATCTTCAGATAGAGTGGGAGAAAGAGAGAGGGAGAGAAAGGGAGAGAGAGAAACATCCACATAAGAGGGACACATCGACTGGCTGCCTCCCGCACCACCAGGCCGGGGATGAACTACAACCAAGGTACTTGCCCTTGGCTGGAATCAAACCCACGACTCATTGGTCCACAGGCCAACACTCTAACTGCTGAGCCAAATCAGCCAGGACAAGGAAACTACTTTTGAAGCACTATTGTTATAAAAGAGCAAATGAGAAAGGGAAAAAGAATCCTTGTTTCAGCGTCACTTACCTATCTGGCCACTGGGTGCCAGAGTAGATCTTCCTAAAGTCAGGGGTTCAGCTAGGCAGGGGACAACTAATTCATACCTGCTGTCTACCAAAGCATGAATGGTAAGAACACCAGGAGTCTAGTCATTTCTGGGGCTGGATCCATTTAAAATCCTCTCAACTATCTTTTCAAAAGAACTCAACAACTGTCTTCTTAATGTAGCCTGTGATGTCTAGAAAATAGAGCAGTTTTATTTATGTTTTGAAGAGCATGGATTAATTTTATTACAGATACTTCAGGCCCAGCAGTGTGGCTCAGTGGTTGAGCGTCGACCCATGCACCAAGAGGTAGCTGGTTCCATTCCTGGTCAGGGTATGTGCCCAGATTGTGGGCCCAAACCCCTGTGTGGGGCATGCAGGAGGCGGCCAGTCGACATTCTCTCTTATAGCATGTTTCTCTCTCTCTCTCTCTCTCTCTCTAAAAAATCAATAAAGAAAAAAAAAATTAAAAAAACAAACAAACAGATACTTCACGGTTCCCAAACCAAGGTCTAATCTGATTTGGATTGGGTTTTCATGGACTTAGTATTGGTTTAGTTAAATTTGGATTTGTTTTTAGATTTGGACTTGATTTGGATTGGATCTAGATTTGACTGGGATTCAGTCTAGATTTTCACAGATTTGTTTTTCATGATAGTAAAAGACGTCAGGTCTAACCTGAACCAGGTCTAACCTGAACCAGGTCTAACCTGAACAGCAACTAGACAAGCACATACACCATGTCCCGCAGATCCAAACTGCACTGTCCCCGGTACTATTCTGAGCCCAGCTGGTAGGAAAGCAGGCATGGAAAAAACCCAGACATCGTTCCCATTCCTGAACTTCAAAGTATTTCCCAAAGTATCCCTTCTCCACTGGCTTCAATGTTAATCTTACAGTTAAAAGAAAAAAAAGTCCTTAAAATGCTCCCTTAATAACAAGCCCCTGGTTATTGGTATTAACTTAGAGAAAGTAGAGAGAACATGATTTGCTATAATTCCTTTAAGCAACTGCTTTTTATTTTTATTCTCTACTTTCACACCTCTCTCTCCCTCTCTCTTATTTTGGGTGGTTAAAAGAAAGTATAATCATAATGTAACAGATTTTTATTGAGCTTTGCTTTCCCACTGCCGCTCCACCTACCTCCATTGACGTAAGCCTTGGAATTTAAACAGCTAAATGCGACAGAGATTTTCAAATTCCAGGCTCTGGAAACTGGAGATGAGTGAGATTTCGCAGCCTCTTCCCTTTTTTTAGTTATTTATAGAGAGAGACTGTACCTAATGCAACTAAATTCTCAATCTGCATACAATGAATACAAAGATTAACATTAAAAGACATACTGAAATTTTATTAAACTTTCTAAGAAATTCTTTACCTTCATCAACAGAATCTGAAGTGCTGCTTTTGTCCAGAGAAAGATACTCGTTTTTATTCAAGTCCAGTGATTTTGAAGGCACTCCACTTAACCTCTTTTCTGAAGTTAGTGAAGGACTCTTTTTGGTCTGTTTCTCATTTTGGGCTTCCTCTTTCCCTAACTCCTAAAAGACAAAGAATCTAGTTAAAAAAAATAAAACAAATTATAGCCTTAGATTTTACAGTGAGATCTTTAATAATAAAGACACTTTGAAATACGTTTGAAAATGTATTTGTTATTTTTGCATCACATTTCCAATTCAGTCCATAAAACATTGGCAAATATTATATGTTATTCTAAAGTCATCTTCTTAAACAGTAATGAATAATAAACTTATGAAGAACATCATATAAAAAACTTACAGAGAGTTAACATCATGAGAATCACTTAATCGGAAGGGAAAGAAGGCCAAGAACAAAATAATGGAACTTTCGGTTCTTTGGGGTGGGCAAGGGAGAGGAGTAAAACCCAGTTAGTTTCCCCAGATGATACCTGCCCCATCATCTCAAGAAGAAAACTCACCCATCTCTCAAGACCAGTAACTAAAGGGGAAAGAGAAAGAAAATAGAGAGATAAAAGTCACATAAGGGTACAGTGGGGGAGAGAGGATTAAAAGGAAAAATTAATTTCACTGCAAACTCATAACATGGCTGTCTCTGCTGTGAAGGGACTAAGAGATTGGGCATTAAACTATATTCAAAATATGATGCTATCTACATTTTCTGGGAATGGTTTAATAAAGATATATCATTTCTATAAAAAATTTAATAGTAGGCATTAAAGTATCAATGCTATTGCTAAGTTAGCATTTAAGTAGAATAGTACTACAATCAGGCTTAATAGAACAGTGTAAAAAATATAAACGATACAGCAAAGTATTTTCTTGCATTGTCTGTGTGTAAGCAGGCAAAAGAGAGTAAACACATAGACACGATCCTTCCACTTCCTGCCCATGAGATCTCTGAGCAGCACTGAACAACAGAAGCACCAGGGAGGACACAGGTTTCCATTGACCACTCAGAAAGCAGAATAGCAAGTGGGACTCAGGACACAATTTAATAAAGGATTAGAATACCCTAGTCGTAGGACTGATTCTTCAAGCAGAGGTTAATGCTAAAATCAAGACATGATTTATTTGAGAGTCCTACTCTGCAAAGCAACATGTTTCTTCAGCTGAACCAGGGTGTCTTTAACAGATGCTAAGTAGAGTAACCTTCCACACATTTTTCTTCTGTTGTTTCTAATTAAGATATAGTTCCTATTATAAAGAATATACATAAGATACTTACAGGAAAAGTAACATTCAATATCTTTGAGTGATTAACATCTGGACAACTTTTATTTCTTTGTATATTTGTCTAATTATCTGAATTTTTTACACAGAGTATTAATTTTGTCCTGGCCGAGTGGCTCAGTTGGTTGGAGCATTGTCCTGTGCAGGTTTGATTCCCAGTCAGGGCACATACCTAGGTTGTGGGTTCAATCCCCAGTTGGGGCGTGTTCAGGAGGTAACTGATTGATGTTTCTCTCTCACATCAATGTTTCTTTCTCTCTCTTTCTCCCCCATCCTCTCTCTCTAAAATCAATCAAAACATCCTTGGGTGAGGATTTTAAAAAAGAGAATACTAATTTTATAACTTAAAAAATATATTTTCATTTGGGACAAATGTTATTTCTAACTTTCTATTATTTCTAATTTAGTTGGAAGTGAAAATGAAGTAAAGTGACATATTTGTTGATATCTGAGACTCTCACCATACTGCTCTTAAATGCAAAAGGACCAAACTTCTACACTGTATTCCATAACCTGAAAACATCTACACTAAACATCAATGAATGTATGATCAATCTTAAAACATTAAATTATTCCTCTGCATTCCATTCCCTTTCCTTAGAGAAAATATGACTTCCTTTAGGGACAAAACTAGAAGAAAAAACCAGCGAGTTAACTATTCCAAGAGCAGGTACACAAGACATTGTTAAGGAGCCTATAGGAAACACTCAGGTAAGACTCGTAGTTCTGAGAACAAGCTGTCTAAGTCAGACCTTTGTAAGAGGGTGAAGAAACCATGAGAAATCCCCTGTTCTGTTACCTCCCCCAAATTGAGTGATTTGGTCTCCTCAGTGAAAACATACAAACAAAGCAGTATCCCAAATCACCTCCCTTGTATCAGTAGGAAGTTCCTCATGGTCTCCAGAAGAATCAGTTTTGCAAGAAACCCACAACACAAAATCAGACTGAGATAGATGCCTGAAACAAGTTGATAACTTGGTGGGCTTTCACATAAATATGGTCTGTTTCAATGTTTTCCCAACATTTATTCACAGGAGATGCTGGGACCTCCACAGGAGAAGGTAGAGAAAGTCCACTGCTGGCCACACATAGATTTGCCTTCAATTATCATATCTTATAGTTACTAATACTTAATGTGTGCCAGGGACTGTTCAAAGCACTTTCACATAAATTAATTGATTCAATCCTTATAAATAATAGCTGTATAAGATATTACTGTCCTCATCTTCTAGGAGTTGAGAAAACAAAGAAAGTTTAAATAATTAAATTAACTTAGGTCATACAGCAGATGGCAGAGGTAGGATTCAAAGCCAATGCTCTGCTCTAAACCAAGACAATCAGCTTTGGTCCCACACTGGCATCCGCAATCGGAACAAAAGTTCTACAGTAGGCCCAATGTTAGCATTCAGAATGTGGTCTCTAAATACCATTCTTCACTAACAACTGTAGCTCATTAGGAAAATGACTGATACTAAGTCTAGGACAGAAAGTATACAAAATGCACCTGGGACGTGTTCTTGTACCAGAAAGAAAGGAAGCCATCAGAAATTATTGATCATTTCAAAAGGATAAAGGAGCCAATCTGAAGGACTCAGAAGGGACAAACTGAGTATTAAAAAAAATGACTCCAATTGATAGAAACTCATGGCAAAAATCAATGGGCTTACGATGATACTCAAAAAAACAAAGGAAGAAACTACCTAACTATGAAAACCAGTGACTAACGGGATGTGCCTGTTTTCAGTAGTTAGCTTAAGAAGCATGTCCTAATCATGCTGCTCAGGGTTCTCATCCCCCTTCAAAATAGACTACCACATACACCATCTACTCTGGGAAAAATTCTGCTAACTATGACTTTCTCCACCTTATTATATTTTCAGGGATGTCCTCCCCTATAAACTGATGCTCTGTCTGATAGCTCTGCACCATATCCAGCTCTGAACAGAACCACACGTGTATGTAACCTCTGCTGCTTACAGACCTAAAAATCTTCTCTGAAAATAAAGGAGCAGGCGGACATGTTAAGTTTTTAACATTTTGTATACTGTATTTTTATTTGACCTTATGTTATGATTAACACATAGCAGCATCAAATATGTTTTAAAAGGGGTATCACATACTAACCACTTTTGGTAGATTTCCATCAATTGACTCTGTTTCTGAAACCCGACTAATTGATTCATGGGTAAAACTGATTGACTTGGATACTTTTTCCTCTCTTTCCCCACAGTCATCCAAGCTGCTTCTTTCTGGACTTCTGTAAGAAATACATCATTATGAAAATATAAACAAGGTTGCTGCCATACAAATATGTGATTTAGTCTCCTCACTGAGGGCCTTTTCTATTATAAAGCATTATGACAACAAATGGTTTTTTCTAATATAACAAATAAGCCTCTGCTTATAACACAGCTATCTTCTTAAATCACATGCATATTGGCTTTATTTCTGAAGATAAGATAATGCTCATATGCGATTTTATACATTTCAGAAACCATTAAAATAATTAACCAAGTACAAGTGGCCATAACAGCAACTAATAAAATGAATAAATATTGCTTGTCTGAATTTCATTGTGGACAACCACAAAGCTTCGAAAGGTACAGGGTGGATGTTGGAGTTGGACGCCAGCCAGCGCCTGAACGCAGGTGAAGATGTTCCTTCCCATCCCATCCCAGCTGAGACAGCATCCTCCCTGGAGGTGGAAACTCCTGGTGTCTGAGCACAGAGCCATCAGTAAGTCCATGCCCACTTCTTGCTCTTCTTATTCCTGAGAAGCAGGTTTAAGGAACAGCTTTCAAATGGTCATTGGGACAAGACTACAATAAATGTCCTGGGACCTGCTTTTCATCTCTTAGGGAGCAAAGAGAAAGGAAATCTATTAAATATAAACAGAACACAACTGATCTAATTTCCAGTGCTCGATCTTACTGAGAAATTATCACTCCTGTGTAATCACTGCAACACATAGATTTAGAGCTCTTCTAAAATAAAGTAGCAACCTGACATCTTAAGCCATATTATCCAGAGGAAGGAACAGAAACGTCAAAGGGTCTTTCAACTCTATTCTCCTCCATCCAAATAACGCTTCGGTCTGCTACCAAGTCACCTTTGGCCAGAGGAACGGCAGGGCTCTGAAGGAACCAAACAAGAAAAATGGCTCCTTGAGACATACCCACCACCTGAATGTCTGAACTTAAGGATTTTTTTTTTTAATATTCTCACCCAAGGATATTTTTCCATTTATCTTTGGATAGAGTGGGAGGATGGGAGGAAGAGAGAGAGAGAGAGAGAGAGAGAGATCGATTTGAGAGAAACACATCGATTGGTTGCCTCCCACACGACCCTGACCAGGGCTAGGGACGAAACTGCAACGGAGGTACATGCCCTTGACCAGAATCAAACCCGAGACTCTTTGGTCCATGGGCTGATGCTCTAACCGCTAAGCCAAATTGGCCATGGCTGAACTTAAGGATTTTAAGGATGGAGTTGAGTTGTGGAAACAGAAAGAAAAAAAGGAGGAAGTTCCTCTTAAAGGGGCTGTACAAACTAACTAGGACTTGCTCCCTCCAGGCTCCAGAATGGGGGAGGCAGCTTGAAGGGTGACAGAGACAGCCAGAGCTGTTTGGCATCGGGGCAAGAGCTGGAGAGGCAGCTTTGTCCTGGACAGACGTGCTGGCTGAGACCTTTGTTCCTTTGGTGAGCCCTTCCCCCATAAGGCAGAGATATGGCTGCCATATCTGAGACTCCAACAACCTGGCTCACATTGTTTGCCCTGCCCTGGTGATTCCCTGGGGCCCTGCACCATCCACCTTTCAGCCCATCCAAGCTGTTTCCAGTGGCTTAACCATAGGATTGGCCTGTCTTGGATCCTGCTTCAGAGTTACCTAAATTCTCTCAAACAAACAGCATCTGGCCTCAGAGAGCCTGATACCTCTCGTTAAGTGGCCCCAGGCCCGGCACTGGAAGCAGCCAGCTTTGGTTCACAACTTGGCTTTTCCTGGACACTTCCAAGCCCAGCACAAGCAGCAGCCATCGGCAGATCGCTTTGTAGCTTATGCCTGGTGGTCCCAGTTAGAACACAGGCAGTGGCTGACCTTGCCCCAGACCAGCACACCCAGAGGACAGCTTCAGACCACATCAAAGCACCATCACCCAACCACCTCCACAAGTGAGACACTCAAGGAGTGGACTCAGTGGGTACCAGAGCCCTGATGAAGTAAGCTTTGCTCTGTGTGATGGGCCCTGCACAGCTGATCCTCAAAGGGAATCAGTGGTCAGTGCACACAGCCAGTCCTTGCAGCTAATTAACCTGAGTAAATACCTCCCACTGATGTGCCAACAGCAATCAAGACTGAGTTACAATAGATGGGTGTATAGTCCATATGAGGGGTGCACCTCAAGGGCCCAGTTCAGGTGATCAGGGAGGCTATGCCACTGGACCCTATAGGATACCTACTATAATAGGCCATCCTACGAAGCCTAGAAGACATAGCAACTCTACCTAATACATAGAAACAAGCACAGGGAAGCAGCCAAAATAGGAGACAAAGAAACATGTCCCAAATGAAAGAAAAGAACAAAACTCCAGGAAAAGAACTAACAGAATGGAGATAAGCTATCTAACAGATGCAGAATTCAAAACACTAGTTATAAGGATGCTCAAGGAACTTAGTGAGAACTTCAAGAAACTTAAGGAGGACTTCAAGGAACTTAGTGAGGTCCTCAAGAGCATAATAACGGACCAGTCAGAAATGAAGGATGCATTAAATGAAATAAAGAATAATTTACAGAGATTTAATAGTGGAGTAGGTGAAGCTGAGAAGCAAACCATGGATTTGGAATATAAGGAAACAAAAAACACCCAATCAGAACAGCAAAAACAAAAAAGAACCCAAAAAAATGAGGAGAGTGTAAGGAGCCTCTGGGACAACTTCAAGCGTGCCAACATTCGCATCATGGGGATGCCAGAAGCAGAAGAGAGAGAACAAGAAATCAAAAACCTATTTGAAACAATAATGACAGAAAAATTCCCTAACTTGGTGAAGGAAACACAGAGAGTCCCAAATAAGATGAACCCAAAGAGGCACACACCAAGACACATCATCATCAAAATGCAAAAGGTTGAAGAAAAGAGAGAATCTTAAAAGCAGCAAAGGAAAAGCAGTTAGTTACCAGAAGGGAGCTCCTATAAACTGTCAGCTGATTTCTTTTCTTTTTAGGACACCAAATTTTCTTTAATTATTTTTTGGGGTTAAGGGACATCACACTTCTACTCAATTAAGAGAAACATTTTTGATCAGTACAGCGGTCTTCTTTTTACACTTATCATGCCATGAATTCATAGGGAATGGGTTCTAGCAGCTCAGGCTCCTTTCCATTGGTTCTCACAAAATGTGCTTCTGTGGGTGGAGCAGGCTCATGCTTCAGTTGAACCCAGGTACCTTTCTCTTTGGCTTCCTTCTTTTTCTGATCATTTTCCTTCACACGTTTCAGGAAGCTATCTTGGCTCTTAGAGTGCTTAATATGCTTGATACGTACATTAATTCTCTTGGCAAGAATCTTGCCCTTGACTTGTTTGTTCACAACAATGCCCACAGCATGCTGGGTGACACTGTAGACTCTTCCAGTTTTGCGATAGTAACAATTGTGGGGCATTCCTTTTTGAACAGTGCCCATTCCCTTTATGTCCACAATATCACCTTTCTTGTAGATTCACATGTGTGTAGCCAAAGGAACAACTCCATGTTTTCTAAAAGGCCTAGAGAACATACAGCGGGTATGTCTCCTCTTTCCCTTTGTGTTCGTCATTTTGGCGAATTACTGGAAGATGGAGGTTCCGGCCAAAAAAAAAAGCATCAGCTGATTTCTGAAAAGAAACTTTGCAGGCCAGAAATATTCAAAGTGATGAAAAGCAAGGCCCTATAACCAAGATTACTCTATCTGCAAAGCTATCATTTAGAATCCATGGACATATCAAGAGTTTCCCAGACAAGAAAAAGCTAAAGGAGTTCATCACCACCAAACCAGCATTATATGAAATGTCGAAGGGTCTTCTTGAAGGAAAAGAAGATAAAAAATATAAACAATAGCCCTGGCTGGTTTGGTTCAGCGGTTAGAGTGTCGGCCTGTGGTCCAGAGAGACTCGGGTTTGGTTCCTGCTAAGGGCATGTACCTCGGTTGCAGTTTGTCCCCTGCCCTGGTTGGGTTGTGTGGGTGGCAATCACTCAATGTGTCCCTTTAATGTCGATGTTTCTCTCTCTCTCTCTCACCCTCCCACTCTATCTGAACAAAAAATGGAAAAATGTCCTTGGGTGAGGATTAAAAAAAATATATGGACAATAAAATGGCAATAAATACACGTCTATCAACAATTGAATGTACAAAGTAAATAAACAAGCAGAACATAAAAAGACTCATAGATATAAAAAACTTTTTGTTGGTTGCCAGATGGGAGGGAGTTTGTGGGGGATGGGTGGAAAAGGTAAAGGGATTAAGAAGCACAAATTGATTATTCACAGATGACATGATATTATACATAGAAAACCCTAAAGACTCCATAAAAAATCTTCTAGACTTGATAAATGAATGTGGCAAAGTAACACGATACAAAATTAACATAAAAAAATCAACAGCAGTCTTATACACCAATGATGAACTCACAGAAAGAGAAACTAAAAAAACAATCCCATTTACCATTATGACAAAAAAATTAAGATACCTAGGAATAAACTTAACCAAAGAAGTAAAGGACCTATTTGCAGAAAACTACAGGACATTGAAAAAAGAAATAGAGGAAGATATAAAAAAGTGGAAGCACATGCCTTGTTCATGGACTGGAAGAATTAACATCACTAAAATGTCCATACTGCTCAAAGCAATCTATAGATTCAAAGCAATCCCCATCAAAATACCAATGACATATTTCACAGAACTAAAACAAATACTTCAAAAGTTCATATGGAACAAAAAAAGACCTCAAATAGCCACAACAATCTTGAAAAAAGGGACAAAGTAAGTGGAATCACAATACCAGATATCAGGTTATACTATAAAGCTACTGTAATCAAAACAACCTGGTACTGGCACAAGAACAGGCATAGAGATCAATGGAATAGAACAGAGAACCCAGAAACTGACCCATAACATTATGCTCAATTAATATTTGACAAAGGTGGCAAGAGCATACAATGGAGTAAAGACAGCCTCTTTAATAAATGGTGTTGGGAAAACTGAACAGCTACATGCAAAAAAATGAAACTAGACCATCAACTTACTCCATACACAAGGATAAACTCAAAATGGGTAAAAGACTTAAATGTGACTCATGAATCCATAAAAATCCTAGAAGAAACTGTAGGCAACAAAATCTCAGACATCATGTGCAGCAGAATTTTCACTGATACATCACCTAAGGCAACAGAAACAAAGGAAAAAATGAACACATGGGACTACATCAAACTCAAAAGCTTCTGCATAGCAAAAAACAACCATCAAAATGGAAAGGCAACCCACTGTATGGGACAGCATAATTGCCAATGATACATCAGATAAGGGATTAATTTCCAAAATATATAGAGTGCTCATACTCAACAAAAGGAAGACAAAGAACCCAATCAAAAAATGGACAGAGGAGCTAAATAGACACCTCTCCAAATAGGACATACAAATGGCCAAGAGACATATAAAGAAATGCTCAACATCACTAATCATCAGAGAGATACAAATTAAAACAACAATGAGGTATTACCTCACACCTGTCAGAATGGCCGCCATCAATAAATCATCAAACAACAAGTGTTGGCGAGGGTGTGGAGAAAAGGGGACTCTAGTACACTGCTGGTGGGAATGCAGACTGGTGCAGTTACTATGGAAAACACTATGGTGTTATCTCAAAAAATTAAAAATTGAACTACCATTTGACCCAGTGATGCCACTTCTAGAATATACCCTAAGAAGCCTGAAACACCAATCAGAAATAATATATGTACCCCTATGTTCATAGCAGCACTATTTACAATAGCTAAGATCTGGAAACAGCCCAACTGCCCATCAGTAGACAAATTGATAAAAAAGCTGTACATATACACAATGGAGTACTATGCAGCTGTAAGAAAGAAAGATCTCTTATCCTTTGAGATGACATGGAGGGACCTGGAAGGTATTATCCTAAGTGAAACAAGCCAAGCAAAGAAAGACAAATATCACATGATCTCACTTATTTGTGTAATATAATGAACATAACAGTCTGAGGAACAGGGTAGTCCCAGAGACATGGAAGTAGGGTACAGACTGACAACCTTCAGAAGAGGGGGTGGTGGGGGGAGGGAAGAGATAAACCACAGAACTTATATGCATGTACGCATAACCGATGAACATGGACAAGAAAGCTGGGGATGGAGTGGGGGAGATGATGAGGAGGATGTCAATGGGGAAAAAGGAGAAACATCTGTAACAAAAATAAATTAATAAAAAAAAAATTGGGAAGAAAAAAGAAGTACAAATTGGTTTTTAAACTGATGAACCTCAAAGGTAAGTGGGAAGGGGGGCTGGAAGAGATCAACCAAAGAACTTATATGCATATATGCATAACCAATGGCCACAGACAATAGTGTGGGGAAGGCAGGAGGTGGGTGGGAGTGGCGAGGAGGGGTTCAATGGAGGCAAAAATCTGTAATACATTCAACAATAAAAATAAGTTAAAAAGAAAAATCGAGGAGAGAGAATGAAGGAGACATTGAAAATGAGAGAAAGAAGATGGAAAAGCTGAGGAAGTAAAGATTTGAGACAGATACACTCCTTTCAGAGTCTGGAAGAATGGAAAAAGGAGAAGAGGGAATGAAGATGTTGCCACCTCTTTTCTTAGAAAGCACTCAATCACCAAGAAAATAGCAGCTTTTCTGCTGACTTCAAGAACTTGCACCTTACAGAATATAAAGCAGCTGGCCAAGAAATGTTCCTGCTCTAGTCGGTTTGGTTCAGCAGTTAGAGTGTCTTAACCTGAGGACCAAAGGTTCACAAGTTCAATTCCTAGTTGTAGTTTTGCAGGGAGCAACCAACCAATCGATGTGTCTCTCTCACATAGATGTTTCCCTCCCTCTCTCTCCCCTTTCCTTCCTTCTACTCTGTCTAAAAATTAATTAAAAAAATATATATTCTCGGGTGAGGATTAACAACAACAAAAATTATTATTCTTTCTTCAAAGACTAGAAACTTTTTGAGTTGGCAGCAACCTTGGAGATCATCTAGTTTAACTGCCTCATTTCCCAGAGGAGAAAATTGTGGATCAGAAATGGTTAAGTGATTTGGTTGAGTCTGCTCAGTGCCTTGGTGGCAGAGTCCAGACTAGAATCCAGATTTTCTTTACCAAGGCTCTTTGCATTGTTATCAATTGCTTTTCTACCCAACTCCAGTACCTGAAAGAAACTAACAAACTTGACAATAAAAGCACTACAATAGAAATTTTTAACTTTACAGAAAACTAATAAAATATGCATGTGTGACCATGTAAAAAAGACTGTAAAATGTTGATGCTGTTGGCGAGGGTGTGGAGAAAAGGGGACTCTAGTACACTGTTGGTGGGAATGCAGACTGGTGCAGCCACTATGGAAAACAATATGGTGTCACCTCAAAAAATTAAAAATTGATCTCCCATTTGACCCAGTGATCCCACTTCTAGGAATATACCCTACGAAGCATAAAACACCAATCAGAAAGAATATATGTACCCCCATCTTTGTAGCAGCACTATTTACAATCGCTAAGATCTGGAAACAGCCCAAGTGCCCATCAGTAGACGAATGGATTAAAAAGCTGTGGTACATATACACAATGGAGTACTACGCAGCGGTAAGAAAGAAAGATCTCTTATCCTTTGAGACTACATGGAGGGACTTGGAAAGTATCATCCTAAGTGAAACAAGCCAAACAGAGAAAGACAAGTATCATATGATCTCACTGATTTCTGGAATATAATGAACATAACAGTTTGAGGACAATCCCCTAAGGAGTGGGGAGGTGAGAGAGGGATGAACAACAGAATTTATATGCATGTATGCATGAACAGTGGACATGGACAACAATCGGGGGAAGGGGGAGGGGGGAATCAGTGGGGGAAAAAAGGAGCATCATTTGTAACAAAAATTAATCAATAAAAAAAAAAACCACTTAAAAAAAAAAGAAACACTATAAATAGGATCAGCATAACTAGAACACTAGACAGAGTAAAAATCAAGACTTTTAAAAGATTTCTATTTTAAGATTTATTTGGTATAGAATTTTTAACAACAGTTTTATTGTTATAATCCACAAACCATGAAACTCACCCCATTGAAAGTACACAATATAGTGGTTTACAGAGTTGTGCAACCATCACCACCATCCATTTTCAGAACATCCTCATCACCCCAAGAAGAAACCCTGTACCCATTCGCAGTCACTTCCATTCTCCCTTCCTCCCTGCCCCTGGCAACTACTAGTCTACTTTCTGTCTCTGTGTGGATTTAATGATTCTAGACTCCACTTCATATAAATGGAATCACACAATATGTGGTCATTTGTGACTGGTTTCTTTCACTTAGCATAATGTTTGCTTTAGAATTTTAATGTATTATCCTCAGTTGTTTTCATTCCTATGACCTCAATTACCATTATACAAAAATGCACTTTTACTTGTACAGGTTAATAAAAATGTCCACTCTTACAAATGAATTCCCATTAGTCAAAAATAATTTCTCTCTACGCTGAGTTTCTTCATCATATTATCTATTGTTCCTTTTGGCCCTTATCATTTTCAACCTTGTATTATAATTATTTGCATTCCCCATAGTACTATAATCTCCTTTCATTAACACATTCTATATTTGTTGAGTGCCAACTACATCCCAAGCACCATGCTAGGGCATCCTTAAGGAAAAGTTGCAGTATCTTTATATGCTTCAAAATACCTACCAGCTAATTTACTTTCCTGTTCCCTATAACCACAGAAATTTCACTAAGTACTTCTCCAGATCCTTAATAAAAATGTTTACTAAAACCACACTTCAAGTAAATCCTAGGTGACACAGTTACAAAGATCTATTTCCTTATATGTCTCGTATTTGCTTACCAATTTAGTGAAATCTTCACTGCCCTCGCCACTCACACCGTTCCACTACAGAGAATGGAGGCAAATTTCACCCAGAAATTCTGAATTAGTAAAGTTTAAAATAAGTCTGCTTTGATTAATGATTCACAAATCTTGACATTTCAAAACATCGTTGTACCTTGGTTGCACGTTATCCTCGACCGATACGGCCAGATTTTCCATCTCTTCAGCATTTAAGCCCAGTTCAGTGCCATAGTTCTGCTGGAGCAGCTGCCAGAACTCCTGTCTGGTCAAGTTCTGAAATGACAGAAAAATTACAGTGAGTACTGGAAAATGTAAGAAGTGTAACATAGTGATTCAAACATGAATTCTGAAGTCAGGATGACCTACTGTGCAGCTATCAGATGTATGACTTTGGTAGTTATTTGACCTTCACAGATGTCAAGTTTCTGTATCTATAAAAATATGGGTTAACAGAACTTATCTGGCAGAGTTGATACTGGGAATAAATAAAATAATGATGTTAAAGTATGTAATATAATAACTAATTAAAATGGAAGGAAAGATGTTTAACATTTTCTTTCTATAAAATAATGTGTTCACGGTTTCTGGCAATTACTAATCTGCAATTTAAATTCTGCAATCCAACCAGTCTACCATAACCACTGGATCACCATTCAGAGTTCTAATCATCAAACAGAACACATATTCTTAATCTATAATATATCTGAATATTTTAACTACTTTACTTTATTTTTCATATGTTTTTTGACAGAGAGGAAAGGAGAGAGACATAGAAACATCAATGTGAGAGAGAAACATCAATCAACTGCCTCCTGCATGCCCCACACAGGGGATCGAGCCCACAACCCGGGCATAACCCCAACTGGGAATCAAACCAGGACCTCTCAGTCCACGGGATGACGCTCAGTCCATTGAGCCACACCAGCCAGGCTATTTTAATTATTTTTAAAACCTTACATAGCAGTAAACTTTAATCTAAAATATAAAATGCAAGAGGCTGGAATCCAGGATATTTTCTTTGATATATTTTTAATAAAGCCCAGCTCATTCTTTCTTTGTAGGTATCATATCAGTGTTAAAGTTATTTTATACAAAATAATCATATTACGTAGCAAAATAAAAACAATACTAGTGTGATGACCAATAGTTTTGTGTCTAGAAACATTACTGATGGTTAATCCCATGATTAAGCAAGGTAGGAGGAGGCAGCATAACACTAGAAGCAACTGATGGCAAGATTCTTTCTCTCTCATTCACTCAACAAATATTTACTTAGAACCTATCAAATGTGTAACACTGCACTAGATGCTAAGGAGGATAAAATGCTCCCAAACAAGTTACAGCATAGTTGAAGAAACACAGGAGACTTTTAACTAAATTAAATATGACAAGCTATAATATTATTTGGTACTCAAGTACCGGTGGAATCAACACTGTAGTAAGAAATACTGTTGTGGGTCAGGGTGATCAGATAAGGCTACATGTTGGAGAAGCATCTTCAACTGAGCTGAGAGAAGGACATGAATGGGGAAAATGGAGAAATGAGAAAATCTGGGGAAAGGAAAACCAACATACAAATATAGAATTAATATATGAAAAACCTAAGTAACTTTGTTTTGAAGTCTAAAAATTTTAAGTGGGGAAATAATAGGAATAAATATATAGAGATTCAATGGGCCCAAAACATACATGTGCCTTGAATTCCTCCCTGACATTCCCTATGACAAATACCACTTCTTTTTTTCACTCTCCTTGTTTCTTCTCTCTGTCTAGTAGCTATGGCATCTTTGTTTGTTACATTACACTTGATGGCCTTCATTACATTTCATGGAACCTCAAAAAGATTAAGAACAAAATTTCTGTGCTTTAGACCACTAGTTCCCAATTTGCCATGCCCAGACTACTAGGATTCCATAAGAGTAGTGGATGAAAATTCAGATTATATTATGAGTATTTCAAAAGTCAAAAACATCTAAACAGTTACCTACAATACAGTTACTCAAGCTAAGTAAAATGTCAGGCCTCTCTCTTTGTTAGGGGCTGAATTATATTAACCTAGAGTGGTTATGCCAGACTGTAAACTCTCATTGGAAATAATGTACGACTAATAAACAATAATGTTCCAACATTTTATTACTTAATATACACCACTTATTTGGTGGACAATAAGTCTTTTGAAGCATACTGTCCATAGGGAAAAAAAATGAAAAGGATCACTGATGGTAGAAAAAGTTAAGGAACTATTGTTTTTGATCCTAAAAGCATCCCACACATTTTTTTTTTTTTTTTTACTTCCACTCCAGAAGAGCCATTTTGAACTATTTTTTCACAATAGCAGGTGGCGTTTACAAATAATTAACTCACTCTTCTAAAGACATTATCTTTGAAATATTTTTAGTGTCATAAATGGATGGTTAACATAATAAAGAAAAACAAGCAATATTTCAATATATGTGTGGAATATTAACCTCTTTTAAAAACTCCTCTGAAATAATAGATATTAAACTACATCAAGACAGACTGAAGCAAGTAGTTAACAAATAATAAATATTCAGACAACTTCCTAAGAGTGAAAAAAATGAAACTTATAAGTAAAAAAGTAACAACAAAAATTCAATTTTATATGACTACACAAATAGGTGATTTAAATATATTATTAAATACTATCAGGAAGTTAATAGCAGGGTAATTTCAATATATTTTTTAATCTATTAGTTTTAAAAAATACGTGTACATATAAAAGGTTAATGGAAAACAAAACAGAACTTACAACTCACCAGATTATAGATTTGCTAATTTGTTAAAAATGACTTTTTCTTCAAAGTCACAAAAATGTGGTTACTGACAGCCATGCTGAATATTCAAACGTTGAAACATATACCCAGGCTGACATTCATTGTTCTTTCAGTAATCAGCAGCAGAATCAGAGTTAAGTAACCTTAAAAAACAACCTAGATTTTTAAACAAAGGCTGACCACCTACCTGCAAACAGTGGAGAGTCTCCCCGGTTCAGCCTGCAGAGTACTTTAACAAAATAAAGATGAACCAAGCAGTAATCAGATAAGGCTCAAAAGTCAGAAGATCAATTTCTGGCCCAGAAAGCTTTATATTCTAAGTATGCTGCAAAGTCTTTATACCACAGCCGGGTTCCAAATACTCAGTGACAACTATGTAAAATCACTGCCTCAATCTCCTAGTTTTGTTATGAGCATCTTTTCCTTATGAAAGACAAGTTGTATTGTAGTTTAAAGCACATTATTTGTCACTTCCTGGTTTGTAGTATCAGCATTCTTTCCAAGGTGGCAGGTCAGAATGCAGAATTGGAAGTTATACCTCACTCTACAGGTTCCTAAGCCACGCCTACTAGAAGAGATAGGTAAACAGGGTTTCATTAAAGGGACAGTCCCCAATTTCTTCTGATTAGAAACACTAAAACGCAAATGCAACTATCTTGCTTATGCTCAGTTGTGTAGAATGCCTGTTGCAATATTATTTTAAACTCATTTAAAAATTAAATATATTAAGGGTTAAATTTTCTTCTCCATGCTAATACTTTCTATTTAATTCTGGTAATGCCATTATTACTTCCTCTTATCCCATTTCTTCAGTACTGATAGAGCAGCCCCACCAGACTCCTTCACCATTATCAAAGATTAACCTCTTGAGTATCATGTATGAAATGTCAGAAAATAGCAAGAAGACGGGGCAATTCCAATAAGCACACAGCACATCTTTCATCACTGAAAAGTTTACATCTTGATTACTCAACAATTCTTTCCTTTAAAAATATTTTTTACTTTATTCAGAATAATTTTTATCAGGAACCTGGGCTATAAAAAACACTACAGAGAGTCTCATCTAATAATTCCAATTTAATTCCCAGAAGAAAAATTTTCTTCTAAATGAAAAATCAAAGCTTGCCCTAATTTCTACGTAGTTGCTCCATTTAATTTAGTAAAGTGTGTAGACACGACAAATGCTACTTGATGAACTGAAAAGATCTATTTTTTTGAGGGGGATTTTGAGGAGGGGTGCTAAAATCTAATCATCTTATTCAACAGGATGAGGAACTAAGGAGACAGTGGAGAATAGCACTCATTCAAACTGAAGAAAGCACACTGGGGGAAGGGTCAAGGGGGGGCTAGCTTCCACTGTCTAAAAATTCATGCTTTTGACATATTATGGTAGTCATCATTGACTAAAACTATAGATAGATAACCTTATCCAACTATGGTAACCAAACAGCTATGAGAAAATGTACATTAACTGTACTGTAAATAATCTGTATACACTTTTGCTAAATATAAAAATTCTTACAGTAAACCACTGGTGTATAGAGCAGAGCTAAATACAGAGTAGCTTTAAGAGGAGAAATAGAACCCAAGCCTGAGCTTCAAGAAAGCCTGGCATGCAAAGGCTGAGTAGAAGAGGAGTGGCCAGCAAAAGAATGAAGGAAATACCAGAAGGTAAGAGGAAATTCCAGAAGGAATGTCATGGGAATCAAGGAGAGAAGGTGTTGCAAAATAGAGGGACTGAGCAATGGTGTGAAATGCTGCTGAAAGATGAAGTAAGATAAGCACAGTATACAGAGGAGTGGAGCAGCCTGGCAAACCAGTTCACCATGACTAATACTAGTGATGGGGCAGGAGGGGAAAGGAGAAGAGAGGAGTGAGTAGGGAAGAGAGAAGCAGCCACATCACAAAGAGCCGCATATGCCATGCAAAAGAATACGGGGTTTACATCGTCAAAATATAAAAAGCCACTTACTAGTTTCGCATAGATGCATAACAAATTCAGAATTGGGTTGTTCTTTTTTTATTAATTTTTTTTTAGAGAGAGAGAAAGGGAGAGTGAGAAACATCAATGTGAGAGAGAAACATTAATAGGCTGACTCCTGCACACTCCCCTACTGGGGATCAAGCCCACAACCTGGGCATGTGCCCTAACCAAGAATCAAATTGGGACCTCTCAGTCCATGGGATGACACTCAATCCACTGAGCCACACCAGCTGGACCAGAATTGTGTTTTTAAAAGATACACTTTTAATGGGTATTTATCCAAAGAATATAAAAACACTAATTCAAAAATATTCATTGTGGTATTATGAGCAATAGCCAGGAGATGGAAATAACCTAAATGTCCACTGACAAATGAACAGATAAAGACATGATATATTACTCAGCCATAAAAAGATAAAATAGATGTCAAAGTCAGGGAGTGTGATACTGTTGACTTTGTTCTTTTTTTTTCTCAGAATTTCTTTGACTATTCA